AAATAAAAGCTAAAATGAATGAATGAGACTATATCAAACTAAAAAACTTCTGCACAGCAAAAGAAGCCATTGACAAAATAAAGAGGCAACCAACTGAATGGGAGAAGATTTTCGCAAACAACGTTTCTGATAAGAGGCTAATATCCAACATTTATAAGGAACTCATACAACTCAACAACAAAAAAACAAACAATCCAATTAAAAATGGCCAGAGGACCTGAATAGATATTTCTCCAAAGAGGATATACAAATGGCCAATAGATATATGAAAAAATGCTTAACATCACTAATCATCAGAGAAATGCAAATAAAAACCACAATGAGCTATCACCTCACAACAGTTAGAATGGCTGTCATCAACAAGAAAAATAATAACAAGTGTTAGAGAGGCTGTGGAGAAAAAGAAATCCTCATGCATTGTTGGTGGGAATGCAGTTTAGCACAGCCACTATGGAAGGCAGTGTGGAGGTTTCTCTAAAAATTAAGAATAGAATTACCATATGACCCAACAACCCCTTTCCTGGGTAAATACCCAAAAATCTGAAAACATTTATTTGTAAAGATATATGTGCTCAAGTGTTCATTGCAGCTTTATTTACAGTGGCCAAGACATGGAAACAACCAAAGTGTCCTTTGATAGATGATTAGATAAAGAAGATGTGGTATATATACACAATGGAACACTATTCTGCCATAAGAAAAGATGGAATAGTGCCTTTTCGACAACATGGATGGATCTTGAGATTATAATGCTAAGCAAATAAGTCAGACAGAAAAAGTTGAGAGCCATATGATTTCACTCATATGTGGTATATAAAACTAAAAACAACAAAGGAACAGGACAAATGAAGAAACAAAAACTCAGATACAGATAATAGTTTAGTGGCTACCAGAATGTAGTGGGGTAGGGGGGTGGTAGATGAAGGTAAAAGGGATCAAATATATGGTGATGGAAATATCTGGGTGGTGAACACCCAATGTGATATATAGATTATGTATTACAGAATTTTACACCTGAAACCTATGTAACTTTACTAACAATTGTCACCCCAATAAATTTTAATAAAAAGAAAATAATCATTCTTTGATAGAACAATTTTTTCATAGTGTACTCCGGGGAAATGAAAAACTTAAAATCCATACTCTACAAGCTGGAAACATTGTTTACAAAGACACCTCCAAAAAGATTCTCCCCAGCCTTGCTAGGAGGGCCCTTATCAGGTACTGCTGAATAATCCCTGTGCCTGCTAAACTCCAGGGAATAGGCTCTTTCTTGGATACATGTGTCGTATCTAAAGAAAGCACCAAACCCTGACTGGAACTGCACACAGTCTAATGACCTGAAACTAAAGCTGTCAATAATTAAAGCAGGTGACCTCTGAAGGAAACAAAATGCCAACATGACTGAGTCAGGCCTGTGTGACCCTTTTCTATCAATTCGTATTTCATTTTTCTCTTTTCCTTAAAAGGAATGTGCCCTTGTTTACATTTCCTAAGCTATTGTGAAAAGGGAACTTTTCTGGTTAGTGAATCTGTCATCAAGAACTTTGATCTATCTAAGATAATAATGGTCTTTGTTTCATTATCTACAGGTTTGAGCTACTGGTTTAAATTCATCATATAGATTAGATTATTCTTTGTTTTGAATCCTTCGTTATTAAGTTCTGCACCTGTTGCCCATTAACCCTGAACATGAGCTGTTTCCAGTCTATGCACTTTCCCTCTGGTGTGAGATGACAGCCAGCAGAGGTCTTTCCTGACACAGAGGAATAAAAAGGCTGCTGAAGTTGGAAGACCTGACTGTTGATCAGCGATGCTTCCAGAGAAATATCTCAATCAAAAGGGGGGAGTGATAAAGATAAACTGGAACTTTAAGCAAACGTAATCAGTTGGGAGGGTTTAAGGAAGGAGCTAGGGTTCATGAAAGTTCTCACATAATATGTAATCAAGAGACAGGAAGAACTCTATGTTTATAATAAAGCTCTAGGGTTCTAACTTCCCCTTACTTCTATAAATACCCTCTATCTTGGCATGCTGGTCAGAGTATGCACGTGGCTTGCCATGTCTGCATGTACTGGATTGCAACCCTTTCTTTTCCTGAATAAGCCTGTTTTGGTGATGAAATATCTGGTCAATATTATTTTTCAGTTGCACTGAAAACAATTCTCACAGCAGCCAGGAACCTGGGGGGAAGACAGGAGGGGGTAAAGGGTTTACATGGCTTGTCTGGGTCACACAAACCCAGACCCCATGCCTGGAATCTGGTAGGACCCAGTAGGACACATCTGGGACAGATCTTCCTCTGTATGGTGTTAAAATGCAGGTCCTGATTCAGAGAGTCTGCCTGTTAAACCAGCCCAAGGGATGTTGGTACAGGCACAGCCCAGATGGCACTGGGAGCATCAAGGCTCAGTCATCTCCTGTGTTGCCCAGAAGTCTGGAGGAATGCAGGAACTGCCCATACAGCTTGCTCTATCCAGGCCCTGAGCATTTACATTGAGGAAGTCCCCAAATCCTCACCACAACCCTATCAAGGGGGAATCAAGCATAAGTGTCTGTCCCACACCTAAGGCCACCCAAGAGTTAACAGAGCTGGATTCGAACAAACTCAGGCTATTTGGCGCCAGAGTCTCACTCCTAACCTCAGGGCTGGCATGTAAACAGGCGCTCTGCCGGGGCGCTAGAACCTCTGGGCCACATGCTTTTCTTTCTTCTCCTTCACCAGCTTTGAGCCAGAGATGGGTCGTGTGATCCATCAATCAGCAAACGCAGTTCACCTCCCCATTTCAGGTGCAGAAATCACCAGAGGCAGCATGTGCCCTGACCATGGTCATTCTCTGAAACTGCAGTCAGTATCCTGTGTCCTGCCTACTTCCTAGGGTGGGGGTGAAGGGAGACGCCCACTCGCAACAAATAGCAGGCAGGCAGTCCCCTACAAGGGGACCCTCAGAACCAGTCTGGCATCTTGGGCCTGAGAAGTATGATTTGGAGAAAGAAATCCAAGTGATTTTGCTTCTGAAAATCCCTGCTATTTTTTAAAATGTACTGTATCTTCCATATGTGTTTCGAGAGTAGAAGATAGCAGCGGTTTTGTTCATAGGTCTCATTTCTCTTTCTCCTCTCCTTGCAAAGAATTGCACTTTGGAAACTGTAATAAAGGAAGTGGTTGACTTTGTAGCCGAAAGATGTGGCGGTGAAGAGCTTCTGGACAAAATGATTCAGCAAGAAACCACCACCCCTGCCCAGCCGCAAGGCAGGCAGCCCCCACCCTGGCCCCCCGTTCCCCAGCACCGACCCGGGGGCCCACAGCAAGCACTGCCTTCCGCGCAGCTATGCGGCCCGCCAGGGTGCTGCTCGCCTTCTACGGCCTGGTCTTGAGCATCATGGAGAGCCCTTCCGCAGGTAAGAGAAGGGTCTCTCCTCCGCTCTACCGTTCCAGGGTGTGGTCCCGAGATTGCCCAACTGAGGCCGGGTATGCCCTGAGCTCCTCCCCTCACACCAGGACCCGGAGGCGGGTGCCTGGCTGCGCGGGCCCTAGGAGACAGCAGGCACCCCAGTGCTGGCTGCAGCTGCCTTCACCCGGTTCAGGGATGGGAGTCTGATGGCCCCCTGAGGACGAAGGAAGTGACTTCTGTTCCTTGCCGCTCCTGGGATCTGGCGCAGTGACCTCAGGATCTTCTGCCAGAGGGAGACTGACTCCCCACGGCCCCTCTACCGCCCCTCTGCGGGGACCGATCACAGGGATGCACGTGGTGGTCAGGTGGTTTCTATCTAATGGCTTCGTCCTTCCCACCTGTTGGCTCGAGGGATCCTGATGATTGGACACCGTCATCCTTCCTGCCAGGCCAGCGCTGGGAGGAAGGGGAGAAAGGGAGATGTGGCCTTTGCACTGAGGCACAACTAGGGTAGATGACATGCCCAAGTCAAACAGCCAGTGGGCGCCTGCCCACCCCCACCCCCACCCCTTCCCACACACACACACACACACACACACACACACAGGTGGAGTTGGAGGTGCCCTCCCAGCGCCAGAATCATAGGCCTTGAATGCTGTGGAAACCTGGAGGGCCCCCACCCCACCTCCTTTAACCAACAAGGAGACAAGCTGGTGTTGGAGGGGCTGAAACGACCTGGTGTCCTCCACTGGAAAAATAATCTCAAGATGCAGAGAGTGAATAGCCCTCACAGGCCCAGGCACAGCTTGCAGCAGCTCCCAGGACCCCTCCCCAAGATTCAGGAGCAATGTGGACCCTCCCTTGCTGCAGGTGGTCTGGGTGTGACCCGTGCTCCCAGCCCTTCTACTGGTAACCGAGGACTGATGTCCACTTGCAGGCAGAAGTGGTGCCTGCCTTGTCAATTGTACTGAGATTTAATCATTCATACTACTGGCAATTATTTCCTAAATTCTTTCTGCTTTCCTCAGCTTCCTCCCCTAACAAAACAGGGACAGCAGAATCAGCACTTCGTGGGGGATCCCAAGCTGACTATTAGGGCCTTTTCACTGACAGGATTGCTGCCCCTCTGCTTGTGTTTCATACTGGACAGAGCCCTCTCCAATTTACTGCCCCATCCACAGCTGTGCCTGCCCCATAGGGAGGTAGAGAAGGCCTCCCCCTGTCAAAGTCCTTCTCGTCTGGCCTGGGCAATCCTGTCAGATCTGCTCTCTGCCACGGATAGAGGGTCCAGAGTCCATACGCATGCACTGAGGGCCTTGGGGCACAGAGACTCCTTGAACCTACTAGCTGTGGGACCTAGAGCTTCCCTAAGTGTCAGTCTCTTGACCCATGAAATGGGCAAATAACCCATCCCCCTTGAGCCCTGGTGAGGCTTGACTGCAGTGGCCTCAGAAGGCACTGTCACTGGGCCTGAGGTGCTGGCAGCTGCCAGCCCTCCACCTGCTCCTGAGTATGTGCAGTGTTGGCAGCCCCCATGCTGCACCACCCCACCCCATCCTGCTCCAGCTTCCATCCTTTCTGGTGATGCTTCTTTAATTTGACAGATGACGGCCCCAGTGAGGGCATCAGAATGAGGGGCTTGGAGGACCCTCCGGTGGTGGAGCAGAGCCTGCAACTCAGCCCCAGACCTGGTTCTACCCACCCTCTATCCTATAGCTCCCGCAACCTCTCCCTCACCTCTTGAAAACAGATTCCAGAGCCTTCTGGATGGGGGGGAGGGGAGGAGGGGAGGTGACAGGGACTCGGAGGGTGAGCCATCTTAGCATCTGACTTCTTGCCACATCCAGGAGCTAAATTACACTGACCTAAATGCAGAGCCCCTGTAGTTTCCCCTGCTGAGCTCTGCAGAACTTAGGGAATTGCTTCATTGGTTTCCTCAGCCCTTTTGTCTTCAGTTGAAAATGAAAAGGCCTTTCTCAACCTGTTAGCTCTTCTGGGAAGCTCCACTTAGCCAACATGTCACACTCACATACTCCCCACCCCCCACCCCCAAGTGGCAGTGGCCCATCTTCTCATTTTGAGGCCACCTGAGCAGGGGTCTGGGATCCAGCAGCCATCACTCCTTCTACCTACCTGCAAGTTGACATCAGTCCTCAGTTATCAGTAGTAAGGGCTGGGACCACCTGTCACACCTGGAGACCACCTGCAGCGAGGGAGGGTCTACATGGCCCCTGAACTTGGGGAGGGTCCCTGGCTGTGTATGGGTCCATGGGAGCTATTGACCCTCTCTCTGATCTTGAGACTTTTTTTTTCCACTGGAGGACACCAATTTGCCCTCAGAGATTCCCACTGTAGCCATATTGAATATTTGATGTAATACTTGATAATAATTACACTATTGCATGCAATGTATTGATAAGAGCTTTATCTGTTACAGCTCATATATTCTTAGCTCTCGTATATTCTCACTACTCTGTGAGGTCAATGCCATTATCACTCCCATTTTACTGATGAGGACATAGAGGCTCAGAGAGGTTAAGTAGCTTGCCCAAAACGACACAGCCAGTGAGAGGCAGAGCTGGGATTCAAACTCTGGGACTATCCCAATGGGTTAAGGCCAGGACTAACTAGCATCCTGTTTATGCCAGAGGAACACATGGGCCCTCCAAAAGATGGGCCTATTTATTACTCAGAGCCCCCAGAACATAGCTGGAGTGGCGGGGGCGGTGAGTGGAATTAATGGCAACCACCCAGACTCACTGAATTTTGGTGTCACATGAGAGGATCAGAGGGGCACAGGGCTCAGAATGACATCTCCAGGTAGGCAGAAAGTGAACACCAGCACCCCTGAGCCTGAGAGTCACCATCCACCACCCCAGTCCTAAGGCCCAGCCTTCCAGACTGTGAGCTCCAGGAGCAGGGGGCCACCTCCCCAAAGGTCCCAGCACCCTGCCCACAACAAGGGCTCCATGACACTGGTAAAGGGAGCCCAAGCAGCCACCTGGAGGAAAGCACTCCCAGGTGATATAGGGAGGTCACCAGCATGGACTGCCAGTTTTAGGCTCTTGGGGACCCTGGGATTCTCTTCTCAGGGATGGTTTCACACACTGGGGTTTCCTCCACCTCCCAGGCCACACTTAGAATACTCTTGAAAGAAAAAGATGATGGGGAACCCCAACCTCCCTGAGCACCCTCTTTCCCTCCACATGCAGGACGGCACATAGGGTGGGTCGGGGGCAGGCTCAAGGGGACAGGAGCTCTCTCCAAAGGGTCTGGTCCTCCATAAGGCCTCAGGACATGGACACGTGGCCAGTGTCCCAGGCTCTGGTTCCTCCCTACTGGACATGCATCCAGTGTGTCTTCGTTTTCCAGAAAAGTAAATTAAGGGATGTTTATCAAAAACTTTTGCAATTGGATTATTTTACTAACTGCTCTTTGTCAGGAAGTCTTTGTCCGATGCATCATATGGGACATTTGCATGTATGTTTATGCTAATTTGAGGGCAGAGTATAGCCTCTGTAATTTACCTAGAAACAGTTAACTATTGCTGCAACTAATACTCAGGTTATTTACAGTGCCCCCAGGCTATGGTGTTGCCTGTTCATCTGCAGATTTGATTGAAATTTAGCTGTTTTCCCTAGGAGTCAACACACACTAGCAGGCCTATAGATGAAGTCCTCTGCTCAGAGAGGACAGGGCAGTGCCCACAGGGGTGTCTTGCAGAGCCTGGCATGCTGAAAGCAAATTCAGTGTCAGTGTCACTGTTCTGAAGAAGGGGGTATGGAGATGCAACAGGAACAGGAACAGGATGTTGGAGTAGGAATCATTTGTAATTTGTATAGAAAAATTACATTTTTAACTGAGAAACATCAGAATGTTTCCTTGAAGCTTTGCTTCCCATTTTGATCACCAGGGAGAGAAGAGACCCTTAGACGTCTTTGATACATGGAAGATTGCTGGCCCAGGGATTCACTGTTGCAGGCCAGCACAGCCCCTAGTTGTCCCGGTTCCTGAAGCAAGCCTGATCTGTTCAGGGGCAGGAGTGGAGGGGCTGTGCCCCGACACCCCTGTTGCTGATTCCTACCCATATGTTGGGTCAGTGCCATCTCTCCAGGGCCTGTTGTCTGCACTTGCCCAGGCAGCAGTCCACACCCTCAGGCAAAAATCTGGCAGCATCCTGATGCCCTAAGGGCTGGAACTCTTCTCCAAGTCCTTTAGCATTTTGCATCTGCAAACTGTGCTTGTCCCCTGTTATTCTTACAACTGTGAGTTCTGTCCTGAGCACATCATCCCCTGCTCAGCACCTAGCCCAGCCCTGAGGTCATCTTGATTTTCCCTCGCTGGCCCCTTGCCCCTTCAAGGAAGGAACCCTGCTGGGGTGGGCCGTGCTTCTCCCTCAGTGGTACCTCCCTGCACCTCAATCTCCTGCCACCTGAGTCATCTTCAAGACCAACCAAAGAGCGCTTTCTTTCCTATGAGCAGTAAGGGGGTCCTTTGTGGAGAGTCCTCCAGAGCTGGTCTGGCAGAGCCAGCGTGGGGAGCGAATCCCCACATCTCTTCTTTCTGGGTGCATCACCCTCACTTCCCACCTGACTGGATAGGGCTGTGTGAGGCTCAAGTCCCAAGGGTCAGGCCCTGGGCCTTGATGTATTCTCTGTGCTGTCCTGGGAGGTGGTGGGGGGATGGGGCCGGAGTGAGGGGGGTGAAGGAGCAAGACGGGGTCACCTCTCATTTGGAAGAACTTCATTTCTTTGCAAGTGTGCATGGCCTGTGTCCACCCCGCATTGGTCCTTTGCAGAAGAAGTCTTTGTTTCTTCTCACCAATGTGCTCCTCCTGATTGTCCTTTCAGTGCACGTCACCCAGGTCATCATGGTGCCACCAGTCTGAGTCACACTTTCTTGGCCCCACATCCGCCTCCTGCTACGTGCTGTGGGTTCTGCCTCCACGCTCAGCTCTCTCTCCTCCTCACCTACGTCATTTCCGCCACTTTCTCACTGGTCCCCCCCCCCCACCCCCACCCCCGGCTTCCTTCACTCAGTGCTGTCTTTATGCGCAGGTTACAGTCACTCTCCTGGAATCTGCGCAGCCCAGGTCTGCTTGCCTCCTCCCTTCCTGTGCTGTGGACGCCCCAGTCTCAAAGTCATCCTGGTATTGCTGCCAAAAAATACTTCTTGAATGAGAAAAAAAAGAACATGGTCTTTAGAACTAGTCAAACCTGGGTATAAACCTGCCCTGAGCGCCTCTGAGGCCTCAGTTTCCTCACCTATAGAATGGAGATGCAAGCACTGCCCCTGCAGAGGTGTGAGAAGAAGGGATGGAAGAGCAGGCGTCTCCTGCTCCCCCAGACTTCAGCTCCCAGCACAAACCCCAGGTCTCCTTTCAGAGGATGGTAAGGAGGTGCTGGCTGTCAGGTTGGCAGTCCAGGAACCTCACCATATGCTCAGCACCCACTTGGTTTTGTGTTTTCTTCCCTGAAAGGGTGTCACCTCTTTGGGATGTTTTTCTTCATGATCAGCCCTTCCCTGTTAATGTCTCTTAACTGTCTTAAAAATAGGTTTGACTTTTCAACTTTTTTTAAAATTAAAAAGTATTGTTTGGACCTCTGTGTTGACTTGAATCCTATGGTTTAGGAAATACATAGTTAAATAAAAATAAACCAACTTCAGTATTTTTCATAACATTTTTGTAACTTGACCAAAATCACTTAGGAACTAACATCACATTCATCTGAGGTTCAGACACACCTGGTTTCACCTCATTGTTTTAATTCTGCTAAATTCAAGCAAAATTAAATATAATCCATTTTATTTAAAAACAGTTAACAGTGGTTACTTTAGAGATGTCTAATATTTTGTTAAACTATTCTATGTTTTTCAAATTTTCTACCAAAAATAGATAAGCTTATAATCAGAAAAGACAATAAATGTAATTTTTACAAAGCAACAAATGTATTAATCCACAGTGGGGGATAGGGGATCTTGTAATAACTGGAGACTCGATCCTGTCCATAAAGGGGCTTCTTTCTTTCTCTGCTGTGTAGACTACAGTGATGAGCAGAAACTAAGCTGTTTTCCAAAACAGTTTTTTTGTTAAAACTGAAATCCACACCTATCTTCCTATGGTCAGTAAGTACAGGTATCCCTGGAGCCGCCCTCTCCCCAGTGTCAGCATTAGTGTGCACAGCTGCCAGGAGACCTCCAAGCACCACCTGAATCAGAGCCATGTGGGAAGCCAGGGAAGTGAAGCTTCCAGGGCCTGAGGCAGCCCGATCAACCCAGCGCCTGGCACTCAGGGGACAGAAGCAGTTTTTGTTGCTTCCATCTTCAGACACCTCAACTGAAGGCTTCAGCCCACCTTTTGTGAGATGTCATTTGAGACCTGGATTATTACAAAGGAGAATCTCAGAGGACGTTTACAGGGGAAAAACTTGGACCAGCAGTTGGCCATAATCTTCTGTTGGGAAGGGCCAGGTCCTTTAGGCTGCTAAAGCATAAGGAGCCCTGCAGAGGAATCATGTGCTTAGTCTTGATGTTTTGCCTTTGGCCCAGGGAACCAGCTAGGGCAGTTGCATTGGACAGACAGGATCCCGCTTGGTTAAACAGTGTGGGTCCTCCCCAGATGGCAGGATGCCCCCCAGGGTCATAGAACTTACGTGGATCCACGCCTTCTCTGCCCACTCCAAGCTTCCTTCCACTGTACCTCCCACAGGGGCAAGGAGAACCTGCAGGCAGGCTACACGAGACCAGCCAGCCAGACATCCCACCATCCTAGTTCTCCCATTCAGCGAGAGTCTCATGTACACACCATCTCATTACGCATCCAGGTTCCAGGGAGGGCTTCGTGCAGACCTCACTTGGCAGCAGAAATGGCCTCCTCTGAGACCCTTTGCTTCAAGCTAATTAGATCACTGACACACTGGCAAGACCTCCTCACTAAGCTGAGTTTCTGTCCCCCTCTTCCCACCCTCTGCTGTGACCAGTGTAACCCAGTCCAGTCTCCTGGGAAGTGTCCCAACATGCTTGGCTGACCCCAGCCTGGGACCATAGGCATGGTCTGTTTCAGAGACCCTGCACCCAGCTATAAAGCCTTTTCCCTTCCTCCCCCAACAAGGGCTCTGTTCCCTGGGCTCTTGGGCACACCCTTACCACCAGGCCATAGTAAGCACCCAGCCACACAGGTCCCCATCCCGCTGGGTGCAAATCCTTGAGCAGTTCAGATTTCCAGTTTTCAGCCTCATCATCCCATTGGCCCTTTCTCATCCTACCTCTAGTACAAGGTAAAAGGTACGTCTGTCAGCACCCTTCTGTCAGTCCCCATGCATGGGGAACTCCTGGTCCCCAGTGGGACATCCCAGTTCAGCCTTAGGAGGAATGCTTCTATTAAAACTCCTAAGTTCTGTTGAATCTGTGCTGCTGTTTTCCTGCCTAAGTTTTGATTTCTTCACGACCCAGGGAACCACTTTGACTTCCCTGAAAGCCCATTTCCCATACCACCATTATCTTCTCTAAGATAATGCAGCAGGAATCTCTAAGCCGGAAGCCTGGCTGATTAGCACTGCTGCTGCCTACACACCCCAAGTCTCCACTTCCTGCTACTTGGGCACCTAAACCTACCTCCCTCGGCAAGGTTGCAACGTCACTCTCAGCGCCAGCCCAAATGGCAGCATGGCTACGTTCAGCTACAGAGCAACTAATACCAGCCATCCCACTGAGGAGCTGAACACACCATTTCATTAACAAAATAAAGTTGCTGACTGGGCCGGTGCCAGCCTTGCGGGATCATGTCTGGCATGCTAACATTTCAGGAAAATCCGGGGGAAAGTCTTAGCAAAGAAAAACAGTTCAGAGACCTAAAAACCCTCTTCCCCATCCTTCCTCCCCTCAGTTTATTTAGATTCTCCCCCCAAACTTTTAACTTTATGTTATTTTGATATACATGTAGTCCATGATCATGGTAGTAACATTGACAAACAAATTCATCCATGAGCTACCAACCAGAGAAGGCCACCGTTCACTGATTGCTCTAAGGAGCCTGTGGGGTTTTGACATTTCTATTTTCTTTATAGTAAAATCTAAAGTTCTTAACCTGAATTAGTACACACCCACACCTGGCCCACCTTGCCTTTCAGCACCTGTCCCATGCCCTCCTGGCTTTGGCCTTGTGGTCCTGACCCCTGGGATCCCTCTGCCTCGTGGCCGTCAGCGGGCTCTCAGACTCTGCACCCTCGCAGACGGGCCCCTGCACAGCTCCTGCCTTTCCTCGCCCACCACTCTGATATTTTTCTTGCCTGTTTATTGATGGAATGTGAGTTCCAGAAAACATAAGCTTCCGTATCCCCTGCAACTGCAGGATGATGAGGGCTCACCTCTTGGGGAGCTGGATGAAGGAGTAAAAAGTCAGGTTCTTCTTCAGAGAGAGGTCTTGGGTCCATCTGAGCTCTGCTACTGTAGGATCTGGGAGCAGAGAATGTGGAGAGCAGAGCAGGGGTATCAGGGTCCCTGATTCTGTCTAGCTGTCAGGCATGGGGCAAGGGGGGGACATGATGGTTGGGTAGAAGCCCCTCATGTTGCTTCCCCCATTTTTTATCCAAATATGGGCCTCCTTGGGACAGAAAGAGCATGGAATGATAAAAAGAAATCCCTCCGTCCCGCTACCATGCGCCAGCTTCATAGAGGAGCTGTGTGAAATAAAGCCTTCCGGGCCTGGCCCTGTCCTCAGACTTGTACCCAAAACAGTGCAGAAGGAGGCACCGCATGATGGGTACCAGATGCTATAGTGCTGCTTGGGGAGTAGGGGCCCCTGGCAGCGGGGCCTGGAAGCTGGGTAAGTTCGAACAAAAGTCCCTGAGGCAGAGGACAGCAGCAGCCTCCTTACAATTGAGAAGGCAGGACTGGCCTTTGGGCACTTCCCCGTGGTCCACTTGTTGGGGACAAGCTGAGGGGTTGGGGCCATATGGCGGCCTTGAAATCCAGCTGGAGCAACTTCTCCTAACACCCCGAGGCTGCATCCTGTCCAGAGGCTTCACCACCTTCAGGTGTGTTCGGGTTTTCTTTAACACACATAATAACCCAGGGAAATAACCCTGGGTTCTGAAGGAGGCTGAATGGGCAGAGACAGGGGATAGGGATTATATCTTATCCATCATTGTATCACCCATCTCACCTGGTCCTCAGCCTTCTGTAAGGGACAACAATGGGGATACACAAGAAATGCACTGTGGGGTGAGGGCTAGACAGGCTGGGGAGGGTAGACAGGTGAGGGACGGGCAGATGGATGAGGAGATGGACATGTTGGGGGCCACACTGGGAACAGAGAGAAGTGAGTACCAAGGTGTGAGGTGTGACACCTTGGACCGAGGGCTCCACTAACAGCAATATTCTTGTCTGGTTCTGTTTTGCTCTTTCAGATTTTTGTTCCCAGATCTTGAACTCATCTGCAAAGCCAGGATTTCCCAAAACAATCAAGACCAATGACCCAGGAGTCCTCAAAGCGGCCAGACACAGTGTTGAAAGGTTCAACAACTGCACGAATGACATCTTCTTGTTCAAAGAGTCCCACATCAGCAGAGCCCTGGTCCAGGTAAGAGTTTGGTTTCTGGCAGCCAGCGTCTCAGAGACACTGCTAAGAGTCCAGGCTGCAGAGGCTTCTATTCTACCAGGGGTCCCCCATCTAGGGCCCTGACCATCTAGAACACAGACCAAGTCATGTGGCTGACAGCAGCAGCCACAGATAGCCCTCAAGCAGCCCAAATCAGTGTCACCAGAGTTGAGCAAAAAGTCCTGGAGCCATATCTTACTGAAACCAGCTTCTCCTGGGCAGAGACACCAGGAGTAGCGCCAAAAAGTGCAAGGGCAGAATGGGGACCAGAGGTGGGCACGCTGAAGGCTGCCAGTGGGGAGCAACTAGAAGGTAGGCCACAGGAACCAAACTGATGCAGGTGCTGCCCTCTCAGACGGGCCTACTGCACTGCCTGCCAGAGTTGCCCCCCCAGGACCCCACCCCTGCCTCGCCCCCTCAGCACAACGCAGCCCCAAGGAACTTCTTGACATTCTCTACCTGAGCTTTATCCTTTCACATCAGAGCTTTGCCCAACATGTACCTCCTTCCCCACACACCAACCCCACCTCCTCCAACTTTGCCCTCATGTCACACCCTATGAAGTTGTCACACTGATGGTTCAGTGTTCTCTCTCCTAGAGGGGACCCTGCAGGGCAGAGCTAGGCCTTGCTCATCTGTGAACAAAAGGTCAGCCTGGGATAAGGGATGCAGAACAGAGATGAGGCACAATCAGGAGGTAGTTGCCTGGCAGTCACTGCCTTTGCTAAAACTGAGGATACCGTACAGCCACTGAAAAGCAAGTTCATGGATGTGGGAATCTGGCTTTGGACAAAATCCACACACTCCTATGAATGAGTAGTGGTGAGGGAAGGAGGAAAGACACAGACAGTTTTTATACACTCAGTGGTTGATTATCTTTGGGTCACAGGATTATAGGTGATTTTTACAATCTTTTTTATTCTTTTTGGCAACTGCAAACCTTTCAAAAGTAGTGTATATATATTTTTTAAATATTTTTTATTGGAGAATTGGGGGAGGGGAACAGTGTTAGGGAATTGGGGAAGGGAAACAGCCAAGTTGTTGTCCTTCAGTCTTAGTTGTGGAGGGCGCAGCAAGCTCAGCTCCAAGTCCAGTCATGCTGCTCAGCTCAAGGTGCTATGTTCAAATAGTTGTGGGTGGGCACAGCTACAATCCCATGTGGGAGTCGCACCAGCAGCCTTGTTGTTGAGAGCACATGCTCTATCCCCTGAGCCACCCAGGCGGCAGCTCAGCTCAAGGTGCCGAGTTCAATCTTTAGTTGCAGGCAGGCATAGCCCACCATCTCGAACAGGCAACCTTGTTGTTAGGAGCACGAGCTCTCACCAGCTGAGCCATCCTGCCACCTGTTGGCAGCTCAGTGGCAGCTCAGCTTGGGCGCAGCTCACTGGCCCATGTGGGAATCGAACTGGTGACCCTGTTGCCCAGAGCTCACACTCTTGAGCAAGCTCTTTACCAACTGAGCCACTCAGCGGGCCCAAAAGTAGTATATTTTTATGATTAGAAAAGTGTCTTGTAGAAGGAAGTCTGTTTTGGGTTTAGGCTTTATGAGGTTTACCATGAAAAGTGCCAAGTGTCGTCACTCCAAGGATACAGCCCCAGGGACCATGTGAGGCTGTGGCTTCCTGCAGGAAAGCTGCAAGTGTGCGATGCCCTGTGCCCAGTGCCCAGGGGCCTTTGAGGGTGGGGATTATACCTTGATGAAGTTGGGGACTTTTTTCCACTTGATATTTGGTGGGGCTATGACTGCAAATTGAGGACTTTTTTTCCGAGTCCTCTGAGACCACAAATGAGGAAAATGAACCAGGTTGCTGCCATGTCCAAGTAGAGAAGGGCTATTCTGAAACTGAAATACAAAACAAAACAAAACAATAACAAAAAAACCCACACCATTGCCAGGAATGGTGAGGGGAGTCAGCAGACGTCCTGCTTGTGCTCACTGCATGTAAAGGCCACACAGGGCAGGAGCCAGTGGGTGGTGAGGGCATGGGGTCAAGGATGGGGTCAGGACCAGGGCAGCCCCAGGGCAACCCTCGTGTGCTGCCCTCCTGATGGCAAGTCCTAGGCAGGAAGGAGATATCCTGACAGGACACAGAGCCCCCCAGGACCTAGAGCTAGGTCCCTGAGCAGGAATGAGAAGATGAGTGAATAAAGGATGGGTCTGGGGTCCAGCCGCAGGCTTCCTTCCCACAGTGGTTCTGGTAAGTTCCACATTCTCTTTCCACCACTCCAAGGGGCATGGACCAATCCCGTCAGGGCATCTTTACCACCTGTCTTCATGCCACCTTCTGCTGACAGAAGAGCTGCCATCCTTTCTGACCTGAACAAAGTAACCCAAGCCGTGCCTTCTGTTCTCTTTAGATAGTGAAAGGCCTGAAATACATGCTTGATGTGGAAATTGGCAGAACTACTTGCAAGAAAAACAATCACCCCAGTCTGGACAACTGTGACTTCCAAACGAACCACACCTTAAAGCGGGTAAAACAAAGGGGTCTCACTTTCTAAGGAAAACGCACGCATGCACATGCGTGCACACACAGGCATATCCCACAGACAGCAGCACTGGGAACTCTGCAGAGCTTTGGGAGGGTGGCCTCAGTGGGGCAGGTGGCCTTTGTAACAGGCAGCATAATTCTCAAGGTGCCCTTCCTTTTTTGTTTCAGACTCTCAGTTGCTACGCTGAAGTCTGGGTTATCCCCTGGCTCCAGAGGTTCGAGGTGCCCGTTCTCCATTGTCACTGACTTTGGCCTCTCAGCAATACTACAGCTGCTGTCGCTTCTGAAATAGTATCTCCCAGCGAGCAGAATGGAAGTGCCCATGGGTTCATTACAGAGTAGCTGGGATGAAAGCTACTAGATTAAATACACTGAATTCTCTTCTAAACTTAATTTTACTGATACTGTGCAACTGGATTCAGGGTCTGAACATATGGAACTGAATCCTCCAATGGGAATGTTTTGGGTTCTCGACCCCTGAGGGAGCCCGGGAGCCCCTCCCACCCAGTTACCTAGTGATTCCCACCTGATTATCCCATGGTCCCAGGTCCCCAATAAAAGCCCAGAGATCCATCCTTTTGTCTGAATAGTTAGAGCACTGAGCAGGGAGACTCAGTCTACTATTGAGCATCTTTACTTTTTGTGGATGAATAAAGCTCTGAATAAATATAAATAAAGAATTGACCATCTCGAAGTAATGGGTGTTGCTTTACCTGCTATAGGGCATCAGGAAGGTGAGGCGAGCATTGTGAGGGGTCCCCTTCACTGAGTGGTCTGACCAGTCTAAGCTACCTCCATAAAGCACTCCGATGCTTTTCCAGCCATTGGCTCCTGGTTCCAACATACTGGAGACCAAAGCAACCAGAAACAGGCCAGCCTGTGTCCACATCATGAATTGGCAAGGGAGGTAACACCCCACAGAAGACGCACACCCTCCAGCTGTGCTTTCTGCTGATTGTGGGTTGCCCACCCAAGTCTCTCTACTGCCTTTGAGGCTCAGCATCTGCACAGCTGTGCTTAGAAAGGTGAGGTGGGATGGAGTGCTGGGACCACACCCCACAGCCCCACCCAGGAGAGGGAACACACTCATGGCCCCGTCCAGGACAGGTAGCACCCCTATACAGACCCATAAGGAAAGGGAGCACCCCACACACAACCCCTCCCAGGGGAAGGAGCAACCCTCCCACAGCCCCACCCAGGAGAGAGAGCACCACTACACACAAATCAACCCAGGAGGAGCAGCACCCCCCCCCCACAGCCCTAACCAGGAGAAGACCCCACACACAGCCCCACCCAGGAGAGGCAGCACCCCCCACATAGACCTACCCAGGAGAGGGAGTACCCCACATATAGCCCCAACCAGTAGAAGGAACACACACACACACACACACACACACACACACATACATACATACATACCCCACCCAGCAGGAGAACCACCCGGAGACACACCCAGGAGGAATATCCCCCCCACAGAACCACCCAGGAGAAAGAGCACCTGCAGCACAAACCAACCAGGAAAAAGAGCATGCCCCAAACAGAGCCACCCAGGAGATGGTGCACCTCCATCTGGCCCACCCAGGAGGAGCACCCTCACACACACAGTGGCACCCAGGGGAGAGAGCACACACACACACCCACACACACACACCCACACACACACACCCACACACACACACACACCCCCAGGACAAGCAGTACCCCCCACAGAGACCCACCGAAGAGAAGCACCCTCCTACAGCCCCACCCAGGAAAGGGAGCACCCCCACACGGCCCCACCCAGGAATGAGCACCCCCACACAGCCCCACCCAGGAGAGGGAGCAGCCCCCACAGACCCACACAGGGAGCAACTCCTACAGGCCTACCAGGAGAGGGAAGACAAGGTGAGGGGTGGAGATGCTTCACTGGGGGCACAGGGGAAAGAGGAGGCTGCTGGGGCCTGGAAGGCCTGCGGTCCTTGTAAAAGACAAGCCTCGCACTTGCCCTGGTAGCAGTGCAAGGCTGGGCAACAGGGCAGAAGCCAAGGAGTTGCCGAAAGTTGGAGAGCACCGAGGCTTCACTTAGAGGTGACCCCAGACACCCTGCACCGGTAAGCCTGATGTAAACGCAGCAGCCCCTCACTGGACTTCTTCCTCTCCAGTCCCTCTTCAAACTATGGATTAATACAAAATATGTTGCTGCCTTTAAAAAATATGGACTTGTGGGCCGGCCGAGTGGCACATTGGTTAAGAGTTGGCTTGGGACGGCAGCTCTGAGCGGTGGGGCCCCAGTTGGGATCCCACATGAGGGCCAGTGATGCCGCGCCCTCTACAGCTAAGATGGTGAACAACAGCTCGACCTGGAGCTGGGCTGCCGTGAGTCACCAACAACAGCATAGGCTGCAGTGGAGCTGCAGTGGGCTGCCATAAGCTATGAGTGACCAGCAGCCAGCGTGAGCTGCCAAGAGCCGCTGTGAGCAGCTGTCCAGGGGCCAGGCGACCCATCTGCCTCAGCCAGGAAGAGCGCAATAATCACAATACCCACATGGGCCAGTGAAGCGAAGTCCTCCACAACTAGACTGAAAAACAAAAGGACAGCAACTTGTCTGTTCCCTTTCCCTGATTCCCTAGCACTGTTCCCCTTCCCCAACCCCCAATAAAATCTTTAAAAATATATATATATATATGGACTTGATAATTCATAGGTGAGAAAATCTGCATCATGTAAGTATGGCAATTTAGTGTGCTATCATAAACTTGTCCAATGTGAATGACCAAAATGAATGACCCTCAGCTTCCTTCAGTGATGAGATAACTACACAGTAAGTCCCCGACTTATGAACATTCAAGTTGCGAACTTTCATAGATACGAATGGACCTCGCATTACGAACATTTGTAGATGCGAACAAATCGTGGAAGTAGCTCACGTGTCTGCCGGACATTGTCACAGTTGTGCTGTGTGCTTACTGTACAGTGCGATAGTACAGTGCTCAATCAGAGCCCAGGATGTCTGGAAGCAAGAGGAAAAGCAGTGGTGATGTGGAGGGGACTGCTAGGAAGTGCAAAGCAATAACCATGCAAACAAAAGTGAAAATAATTGAGAGATTGGACCGAGGCAAAAAGATGGTAGACGTCACTCATTCTTATAACGTGAATCGTTCAACCACTGGCTTTACATTGTAGATTTGTGTCAAAGGCGTACAAGACTCACTTTGTCGGACTTACAAATGAATTCAACTTACGAATGTTCTCCTGGAACGGAACTTGTTCGTAAGTCGGGTACTTACTGTAATTCCAAGTCCTCAATTTTTTTTTTCCTGCCTTGACTCGCCCCCTTCTGGTCATTTAATTAAGGGATAGTGGTGGCAACTATGCCACAAAACATCTACTTTATCCTATGATTCCGAAGGCCATCCTTTCATAAAGATAAACAAATTCACCCAGCGCTGTTCACCCCATACATTAACAAGATGGCAAGAACACCAATACCAGGAGTGTAAGCCAGATGGGCCTGGGGATACAGCTCAAGGGGGCCTTCGTGATTTATATAAGATGATGCAGCAAATGACGGGAGGACCCCAGACTCTGAGCTCCTAGTGTTCATTTACAATTAAATACGGAACAGAGCACATCAAGGCCAGGCCTGTTCTGAAAATTACTTAGGCCTCCAGATGCCACCCCCGCACTGGCCTTACACGCAGCATCAGAAATTAGAATGCACAGAAAGTTCTAGGGCACAGTGGCTTCACAGCACCCCTGATTGGATTTGTGTTTGAACTCCCCGCCGTTCGCCCAGCCAGGAGGCCTTGGCTAACCTTACCTCCCAGGAGGGAGGAAGCCTCAAATCCCAGTCTCAAAACTCTCAGGTTTGAACACTAACCTATACTCATGATTTTCAAAACATCATTTGGGACAAGGTATTTATCCCCTCCTATAAAGTAAACAAAGTCTTAGAATTAAGGCAAACCAGCCAATACGGAAGCCAGCTGGCTGTGTGCCCCTAACCTCAGGCTTCTGCAAACCTTCCCTCCATAGGGGCCTCAAGCCCTGAATTCCAGGTGGGAGTTTTACCTTATAATGTACCCACCTTCTATTACCCTGAATCCTAATCTGTTTTATGTATTATACCTCACAGAAGTAAATACTTGTTCTTTAAATAACTCTTAAACCTGCCATGGTGACACCAGAAGCAAAGGGGCTGGGTAGCAAGCCAGTGTGAGGCTACCTTGATTTTTGGAAGCCAGCAGCTGGCACACCTTTGACCACCGCAGAGATGCATCTACCAACCAAACCACTGTAAACATGTTGCTCTAGCTGCCTGGAGAGCAGGCCCTGCAGACACTGTGAGCACTTGACTGTGCTGGATCCATTCACTGTTTTCATTTTCATAACTCTGACCGCTGTGAGCGATTCTTCTCTCCAGACTCCAAAGCCCTACCTGAAAAGGAACTGCCAGAGAGCTCTGAGATGAATTCAAACAGATGAAACCAAACACCCATGTGGAGATGGCGTACCTTACCACAGTTGCTGGATGTCAACCAGTGATAACCTGAAGTCCCGTACAGCCAACCCAATTCTATATTTTTGAAAACTCATCAGTTTTACTCTGACTCAGAAGGAAGCTGTGCCATCATCTAATGTTACTGTGACTGAGAAAATAGAAAGTTTAATACCCATGATTCTAAGACATACCATACCTATGACCAAAAAGAAACACTGTCTCAAACTTGAACAAACCACCCAAACCATCAAAATTCTAACAGACGCTCCTGTCCTGAGTGTTATAGACTTTCCCCTGGCAATGCCCCTCCACATCTCCTCACTAGTTGCACAGACTCTCAGGGATTCAGCTGTACTTCCCCCTGTTCCAGATGTCCAACCAGCCTAGCCCCTCGTGAGGTAGCTGATGGGCCCAGCTGTGATGAGCTAGCTGTGATGAATACCCAACCACTGCCCACGGGGACTATCTGTGAAACTTAAACCACACTGATGTCCAGGCTTCCCCAGAGACATGGGCATCCAAAAGAACTCTGATATGCAGCAAAGGTCTGACCCCTCAGGCTGGGTGGTGGCCACCACAGAGCTTACACCACCACGCTACCTCCTCCGTGTCTCCCGGCTTCCCCAGCAGACTGCACAGTCACAGGCTCAGTGATGCTGGCTATGACTCTGGGTAACTCATTTCTCCACCAGCCTCAGTTCCTATCTGCAAACAGGGCCATTATCTCCTTGCATCATTAAAAGGTCAGAGTACATGAAAACACTTTCAAAACTGTAGACCACTCTGCAAGTATATGTTGATAAAAATCTGAAAGGGACCTCTCTGCTATGCAAGGCAATAACTGAACTCTGATAGAGTTTTTATAATAGATAATAAAGAAACACACAGTGAATGAACCACTTAATTTAATTGTAAAACCATGTTAGTAATTCACATTAGAGCAAATGTTTTGTTTATAACAAAAGCACATCATATTTAAACCTAATAAGGCTGTATTTTGCACCTCACTATTACCAAATTATCAAATAAAAAACAGGAAATGACAGTTTGGGACATCCGAGTCAAATCAAGACTCCTTTGCTGAAAACTATGAAAAGCAATTTATCAGTTTCTTTGTAACAGTAAAAATTAAGCACTAAAAGCAAAGTCCCCTGTTCTTGATCAAGAAGTTGACCTATTTACACCTAGCACATTTAAATTGGTTTTTGTGGCAGAATGATTGGGTTTTACCCTATTATTCTTGTATACTTGATACATGGGATATACCATTATCTATTAAAAATATTTAATTTTATTCAATTTTATTTCCTATGAAGTTATGTAAATAATATTAAGTCATTCATCTTAGATAATATGGGTTGTATCAACTAGACTAAAGCCAGTCTTTGACTCTGCCTGCTGTTGCTGCACATAAAGCCAGCCTGAGGAGAGTGACATGAGATGAGCTGACCACTAGACTCCCAACTTCCTTCCCCTAAAATGAGGCCAGACCAGAGCATGGAGTTGGGGGCCTACTGTTAGGAAAAGCAGCAAAGCGACTGAAGGCCAGCCAATGAGACAAGACACAAGGTTCAGGTTTTACCACAGCTCTCAGTCCTCTTTGGATGTTAGTATCATTACCTATTGAAAATATTGTCTTTGTCAAGTTCTTAAAAAACTATCCCACAGGCAGAAATTGTTCATCCAGAACAGAAAAGGAACAGATATTAATCCCATTTTGCAGGACAGGAAACAGGAGAGCAGTGTAATATCAACTTGCCCAAGAATGAATCAACATTGGGAGGCACAAGCGGAAGCAGTGACCTGAGGCCAGCTGATGCCTTGTTAGAGGTCTTGAGAAACTGGATGGACTGCTTGTCCCGAAAACAAGATCCTAGCCAAAACAATCCTCTTATCAACACCGGATGGATGGAATAAAATTTCAGTCACTGTTAAAATAATTATATTTAAAGTAGAGAAGAAACTCCTAGGCAACACCATCAAAAAAGGCTAATCAGCATAAAAGCTCATTTAATTATCATTATTACATGGATCTCCCTGATAAAATTATAACCAGTGTATAGACATACAGCAATTTTGGACTTGTGACACTTGAGCAAATATGACATTAACATGTGCACTATTCACTTCTGTGAGTCTAGAGGTGAGAAACAAAGGTGTGTAAACAGGGCTGCCCTAAATTCACCCAGTTGCTGGGTCATTCAATTTGTATGGTAGGTTGTTCACAGAGAGAAACCCAGGGAGTCCTCTCTGAACTGTTGGAATTAACATGCTTTTCCTATGCACTTCCTCAGGTCCTTGTCTTTACATGGCTGACGGGACTCAGGAGTCCTAAAACACCCCTGGTACAAGCTGGAGTAGGCTGGAGGGTGGGAGCGATGGAAGGTAAAGCCCAGGGACCAAGGGCCTGCACAGTTCTGGAGAACGCAGAGCTAACATCTGTGCTTGCACAGTTCCACCTGCTGGCCTCTGTGCACTTCTGCACTGAGCAATCCTTGCCCTTCCTCTGCCCCTCCCAAGACAGGCATTACCCTGTTTTATAATAAAGACACTGAGGCTGGCAGGACAGAGCCAGTAGCTAAAACAAGACCCCTGGACAGCTCATCTACTGCTCTATCCACCAAACCCTGAGGCTTGCTGAAAATGCATGATGTCTCCTAGAAAATTACTGTACTTAAGAGAGAATTTTTTAAGAGAAAATGGCTTTACATGAACTTATCTTCTCAATAGCAGATGTTATGATGCTTCTCTCTAAATGCAAAGTCAAACCCAAGTGAGGGCTGTCCCACAGGGACCTGCATGCCTGCAGGGTCATATCACACTTCCAAGGGTCAGCAGGGCAGGTGGGAAGGGCTGTGTCCACGGCGCCCATAGACCAGGTATGGTGCCCAAGTGTGGCAAGTCCTCGAACAGGCATGATTGTTAAGCAGACTGAAGGCTGAGTCTGCAGAGGAAGGGGGCCCTGAAGGAGCCAAGGTACAGGTGCCCATCATGCTCGTGCGCTTCACTGATGTAGGTGGCCACCTGCCCGTTAGGATCGTGCAGGCTTCTCCGGAAGGCCCCACTGTCGCTGAGTTCTAGGACAAGGCTATACCGTGGCACAAACTTCATCACTGTCTCCTGACTGAACAGCTGGAAGGGAAGCACAGCGAGAGAAGAGTTTACCATTTGACAAAGAGAATGATGTGAGCAGATCTGACCTGTTAAAAGCAGGACAACAGGCCCACAATGGCGTCACTGATGGTAAGCCCTATGTCAAAACTAAGATTTAACTCAATTATAGTTTCAGCTCTCCCAGAAATGGAATGTTAAGCCAGTCAACCATGACTGGTCAGTACTAGTTAAGCCATCTGCCTGACAGACCCCAGCTGTTCCCTACAGGAAAGTGACCTTGTAATAACCAAGCTTTCTGCCTAGTGTGCCCTTCCTTGCTCCTGCTCCCTTCTGCCTGTAAAAGTCTCACTCTTTACAGCTCCTTGGAGCTCCTTTCTATTCATTAGGCTGGATGTTGCTCAGTTCAATGAATAAAGCCAATAAGCTCTTTAAAATTTATTCAGTTGAATATTATTTTTTTAACAGACCCCACAGCCCCTCACTATCTATTAAGGGTCCAGCTCTACCAGTGACAGGGCACAGCCAGGTTAAACCAGCTCCCCACTCTCAGCACAGTGCCTGTCCCACAGCAGGTCTCCCCGGCCCCTGCTCCCACCCCCTGTGCAGATCAGGCCAAGGAGCCTCCTATCACTAACATGGAAACAGGCAAGGCTCATGCAGCACAAGAACAGCGGCTGTTCAACAGCCCTCATGCAATGTCCATCAGACCTGCAATGTTGGCACTTCTCTGAACAGAGAAGCACACATCACCTCTGAGAAAGACACACGATGAGGCCAAGGCCTAGAGTAATGTCAACCCCAGAATTCCAGGTTAAAACCAGCATAGTCTAACTGGAATAAACGCCAAGCCCTCTGATAAGGTTTAAGATCTCTCACATGTGCAAGGTACAAATGATAGAGATCTGAGAGTGGTTCATGTTATCCTGGGCAGGTTAAATGAACATGTCCCTGCCCTGAGACACAACAACGACTCTCAGCTCTCCTTGCAGCCAGTGTAGATAGATTAGACACCCCCATGCTGAGCAGGCAGCCTCTCAGACCCCTGGCTCAGGCAGGCCAAGAGACACATGGGTCTACTGAAAGGTTTTAAGCAAAAAAAAAAAAAAAAAAAAAAAAAAAACCAGATGGTGAGATATACAATTTCTGGCAGAGCAGAAGGATACCAGGTAGGAAATGATGACCAAGGACACCACTTGTATAAGACCAAGAGTGAAAATTAGTAGGCAGATTATCTACCTTCTAATATAAGGGGAAATAGCCACAAAATTACACATGTCCAATGAATAATGTCTCTTAGTCACTGGAAATGTTCAAGCAGGCTTACAAGTTGACTGTGCTTTGGAAGGTTCTATAGTGATCGCTCAAAATTGTATTGTGACTCAAAATATTCCATAAGGCTTCCTATGACCCATGAAAGGCCACCTTCCTTCGGCCATAGGTCTTCCCTTCTCTACTCTCTCCATCTTATCCCTAAGAGATCCCATCACCTCTGGTTACTTTAGTTACTTTCCCCGAGAGCTCTCAAATCTACACCTCTATTTCCGATGCCCAATGCTGAATTCCTCACTGTCCAGGACTCATCTCCACCTGGACTTTCTAACAGCTCTTCAAACTCAACAGACTCCCCAGCTCCGGAGACAGAGCCCCTGACAACAGCTGCTGATACCAGAAACTCAGTCTTCACACTTAATCCATCTCTCCAACCCTATGAGCCCGGCACTGTGAGGTCTTATCATCTGCTGCGCATGTATCCCCCCTGCCCTGGGATCTGCCCACCACCCCTCCTGCCCATTCCAACCACCTCCACACAGGATCCCGAAGCCAGTGGAGCCCTGCTACAGGCTATTCTCCACAGAGCAGTTGCAGTTATCTTTTTAAAACGTTCTTTGTAGTACATCACTCAAACAATTCAGTCAAGAAGTAGCTTGTGAGGCTGAACAGAGCACATATGTGCAGAGGGTGGGGGAACTGCAGTGGCTCAGACCAGGGAGTCAGTCTCACGGGGTGAGGGAGAGTCCACACTGGGGGAAGAGAGGACAATGGCACAGAGTACAGCATCAGGACTCAAGCAGGCTGAGACAGTGTCCCTGAAGTGGGGTGGCCTGGCACAGGCTGTCAGAGCCCAGGAAGGATGAGAAGGGTGTTTCCGTGGGGGACAGCTTGTGCAGGTATCAGAGCCCTCGAGATGAAAGGTTGGCCCCTGCACATGGTTGGGAGGTGGGAGAAGGCCCAGGGTGGGTGCTAGAGCCCTAGCAGGAGTCATGTGATGAGGACAATGGCTACAGGTCAGTGACATTTGGGGAGTCTGATCAAATAGGTATGAAGGATAATGGAATCCAGGTTTCTCAATATTAAAGAAGGGAACTACAAATATGGAAAGGGAGAAAACTAGAAAAATCCTGTGGTATTGGACTGGAAGTAGACATACCAGCATTGCTTATGGTTTTCAATTTAACAGATGACAAATAAATACAGGTGTTAACATGTGTATGCACATTGTATATATGCATGTATGTATGACTACACATGCATACATTCCCCACTTAGTCCACTGAGGGGACCTCGGAGCAGAGACACCCCAAAAACAATGTGCACACTTAACACCAGATCTCCTCTAGAAAGAACCGGGGCTCCTTAGGAAAATGGTTGATTCCAGAGCTGGCACAGGGCAAGTACAAGATGAGCCTGAACAATGTGGTGCCAGGAAGCGAGGAACCGCTCCAAGGATGACAGGGACACGTCCAAAGGTCAAGGAGCCATGCTGAAGAGGCTCTCACGGGCCACAGCTGGACCATTTGAGCATCAAAATAATGATAGTAACAGATCATATAACCCACTGAGTAAAATTGGCAACCATGAGATCATACTGATATTTACCTGAAACTAACAATAAAAAAAAAAATAAAATAAAATAATAATAAAAAAAAGTACATCCCCACAAAATACTCATTAATTACAAATGGAAGAGTGAGTTCACAGTGGAGAAGCCTAACAGTCACCAGTGGACCAGGTGATGAACACTGCCACCACCAGCATGGGACAGGGTGACGTCACGCCCCTCCTGACAAGACATACTGAGAACTCCATTTCTGTGGTCTCCCTGACAGAGAAGATAACTTGAATCTAATCATGAGAAACACCTGGCAACCCAAATGGAGGGGAATCCTGCAACATAATTGACCTGCAATCCTCCAATAGGTCAAGACTAAGGAACTGTTCCAGACTGAAGGAGAATAGAGACATGCCAACTAGAGGTCACGTCTGATCCTGGGCTGAATCTTCTGTTATAAAGGACATTACTGGGGCAACTGGCGCAACCTGATAGGGTGTGTGGGTTGGACAGTTGCATGTATCCATGTGAATTTCCTGTTTGGACAGGTAATCTTGAAGGAGAATGACCTTGTTATAAAAAACACACTAAAGTATCTGACCTGGGGCATCAGGTCAGCAACTTACTTGCAGATAGTTCAGGAAAAAAGTTCTTTCTACCCTTTCTGCCACTTAATAAAATCTAACTTCCTATAAGGCCTGTGATCCTCGCCCACCTCTCCCACCTGCTCTCCATCTGCCATGTCCCAGGTCACACACTGATGCTGAGCGCTCTCCTGCCCCAGGGACCCCACCCATGTTCTTCATCACCAGGAACACATCCTGGCTTTCCAGGTTTGTCTCATACTTACAGTCTAAACTCTCTAATCACTTATTCATTCAACAGTAACTCTGAGTGCCTGCTGTGTGCCAGACACTGTTCTCAGTGCTGCGGATAAACTAAACAGAAAAAAATATCTACTCTGATGGAGCACACATTATATCGGGAGAGACAGAGAGAGACAAACATTCACCACCAACAGATCACATCCTTGCTGTAGAAAAACCAACAGGTACAGAAATTGAATACTTACTACATCTGGCTAAGGTATTATGTGCATATTCTCATTAATTTTTTTCAGCATTTAATGAAATACTATTATTCTTCCCACTTGACAGATGGAGAAATTGAGGCAGAGTCATCTGCCCAGGGCCCCACAGTTGCTCTGGCCTTCTTCAACACCCCTCTCCTTGACCACCCTACCATTCTGCCTCCTCCTAGATTCCAACTGGAACAGATGCTGGCTCTGGAGCCAACAAGACAAAGAGGAAGGATGTGTTCTTTCTGAACAGATCAGGATTTTCCACTGTGACCCACTGAACTCAGGACAATATTGAAGGCCATGAGCCAGCCTAACTAAGCAAATGTATGCAGTCCCTCACTGGGGCCCAGACACAGGGCCTGGCACTGTATGGACTCAGTAATTACTGCCTGGTCCCTTCCAGGACTTTAAGTTATAAATATTTTAATATCTATTCAAATAGTCAATATCAATTTCAAATATCTATTCAGCCTGTAAAATGGAGCTTTTAGGAACATAAGATTTCTATATGACGTAAGCACCTATATCAGCACATTATTTATCCCCAGGGTAAAACGTGTTGAGCACATTCGGAGCATTTCATGGAAGTCACTGGCAAAAAGGGTAGGATGATGAATGGTTAGAGGCTGTGTTAAAGGGTCTGTGTCTGTGGCTGGCCATTGATGAGGGTGGATGATTTTTTTTAATGGAAAAGAATTTGGTGTGCTAAGATGTCAAAGAGCAGAATTCTGTGGAGACATATGCCTAACAAGGGGTTCCGAGAAGGCAGAAGGAAGCAGGGTGGGACGAGGGCCCAAGGTGAGTGGTTTATATGTGTGGCCACAGGAAGACACATCTGATAACCATTTGAAGAGAAGTAGTGTCATCTGCTGGCAGGAAGGCAGAGCCAGGTCACAGGGTCTGGAGGAGAGGGGAGAAGGTCTGAAGAAGCCATCGCAGAGTGGGAAGAGTGAGGTTGACAGGCAGGGAGAAGGCCCCAAAGGTCTGATGCTGAGAGTGATGATAAATACACCCAGACTAGGAAACCCAGAAATCAGAAAAAAACAAAATCAAAGGGTCTAAATGTTTAAGTTTACATGTCAGTGTGAAGAATAAAAAGTGTTTTAAAGAAGTCAATAAAAGTATTATATTATTAGCAGAACTACAATTTCTAGAGCTATAAAGGTCAAAAAAGATCATAATTAGATACATCTTCATTTTGGTTTTTGGAATTATAGTTTTCAGTTACCTTAAAAATCATTCTTTTAATATAAGGTCTCTCGGATAAGAAATCCAACATTGAAAACCCAGGGTTGGGGCGAATAACTGCCATGCCGACCCAGTACCCCCCGGAGCTGCTGGGCCGGATGTTGTCTGGGAATCCAGGCAGGTTCTCCACAAACAGGTCGGCTCCTCCCTTCATCAGGCCAGACACGTAGAATCTGAAAAAAGTCACCCAAGCAGGCGTGAGCAGCAGCCCCCCAAGTTAAGAAACAATGTTAGCCAAACGCAAAATTGGTCTTGGTTCCATAAGCTTACGGAACAATTATAAACATGTCCATCATGAACAAAGGCTCAGCTGCGGAAAGAGGCACTCATGAGCCCCTGGGCCCAGCGAGATGCAGTTTGGAGGGGTGGGGCAGGCCAAGACCCACGGTTAGTTAGGGAAAGGGACCTGGGATGCACAGTCAGCATTAAATTAAGACTCTCTCAGACAGCGACACTAAAGTAGGCTGAGAAATGGGAGAAAAAAAGGGCACCCTTGAGTTTGACTTTTATTGTTATTACACAAAGAAGGTGCCCTGCTGCACCTCAGATTCTGTCAATAGACATTTCCACGCCCGTCCCGGGAATGAGGAGCTCTGGTGAACAGAGACAGCTCAGTAGATACTACACGCACCTTCTTATCCTTGCCATGGTTGTCTCTGCCACCAGGATGAAGTCCTCTGCAGGAGAAAGCTGCACTCCGTTAGGGAACCGCAACTGGTCCAGTAAAACCTTCACTTCCTTGGTCTCGGTATCATACTCTAGTAGGCTGTGAATGCCAACAGTAAAGGGTCACAAAGGGAGAGTCCACAAGCCCCCTGCTGGGTTGAAGCCTTTCTCCCCTCTGGACAGGGGCCTATAGAAGGGGAGTCAGCCTCACACTGGGGTGACAAAGCCCCTGCTGGTCTTCTGCTCAGACTTGTTCCAGGGTGGCCCCTGGGGGCCCTTCCCCATCCAGGGCAGCCCTAAGCATCCTCTTCCAGACAACACCCAGTCAGTTCTCTCACTGACCTGGGGGCCACCATGGCTCCAGCCTCACAGGAGTCCCCCTTTAGAGGTACGACCTGAAACCCAGGCCCGCCTATAGGTCTCTCCCAGATGCCTAGACCACATCCTTACATGGACTGGCCTATTTTTATTTCATTTCATTAAAGTGAAAGTAAAACCATCTTGCTCTCTTTTGTTACATCCATCACCTATTTCCAGAAGCTATTAAGGTCCTACCTGAAATGCTGAAATATTATGCTCAAAAACACTCCAATGTTCCCTAAAAGTAATCAGCTCTGCTGAAGTTACCCTGCCTGATTGATGATCTCACTGAGCAAAAGATCTAAAATACACACTCACCGCCCATCATCTGTTCCCTCCATAAACAGAAGCATATAATCTCGTCTTTGCCATTTGCTGCTAGAATCCGTAAAATAAATCTTCCTCCCATCACGAGTTATTGTAAGATCATTCACAAAGGACATTTTCCTCCCCTCAATGGGTGTGTCGGAGGACAGCAACAGTTTCACTTCACCTGAAATGAAAGAAAGAATGAAAGAAAGAAAGAAAGAAAGAAAGAAAGAAAGAAAGAAAGAAAGAAAGAAAAGGAGGGAGAGAGAGGCTTGCTTTTATTCTAAGAACTTGTATCTCAATAATTTAAAAATAATTAATTAGCCTGATTTAAAAAGAAAAACTAGGGCCAGCCAAGTGGCACGTTGGTTGGGAGCTGGCTTGGGACGCCAGCTCTGAGCAGCAGGGCCCTGGTTCGGATCCCACATGAGGGCCAGTGACACTGCCCTCTACAGCTAAGATGGTGAACAACAGCTCAACCTGGAGCTGGGCTGCAATGAGTCACTGGCGATGGCATAGGCTGCAGTGGGGCTGGCCAGCAGCTGGCGTGTGCTTTCGTGAGCTGCCGTGAGTGGCCGTCCAATGGCCAGCGAGCAACTGCCTCACCCAGGAAGAGCGCAATAATACCAACATGGGCCAGTGAAGCAACGTCCTCCATAACTAGACTGAGGAACAAAAGGACAGCAACTTGTCTGTTCCCCTTCCCCGATTCCCCAATGCTTGTCCCCTCCCCCAATTCCCCAATAAAAAAAAATCTTAAAAAAATAAATAAAATAAAAAGAAAAACTACAGTGAGCTTCTCTATGTCATACGTCAGAAGACTTATTCCTCGTTATAGTAAAAAACAGTGTTTTCCTTTCTTTTATCTGTTAGCAATGAATTTTTTTTAAACTAACTTCATCAAAGCAAAATCCTTCCTCTAAGGATGAGGAACTTTCTCTTATCAAGACCAACTGACTTAAAAATCTATTAAGAGTCTTAGGTAAAAGGCAATTTTTCTATTTGTTTGTTTGAGAGAAATATAAAGTGTTCCATTTATCTTCTTTTAAATAAAGAAATAAGAGTAGTAAGTTTTTTAAATAGTAGAATGAACATTTATTGAGTACTAAGCTCTCTCCATGTATAACATTTAAACCCTTACAACAATCCCACGAGGCAGGCAACTATACTATTCCTATGTTAGGGGTGAAGAAAGTGTGCACAGAGAGGCTGAGTAACTTGCATAGTCACACAACCAACCAATGGCACAGCTGGGCCACCCAGGTAATCGGTCTGCGGTGCCCGAGACCAGGGCCCCACGTACCACCCATGATAAGGAACTCCTCCGTAGCATACACTCCCCTGCTGAAGCACAAACAGCAAATGTAATACTGCTGGTCGAGGTGACATCATGACCAGTCAGGGGAGAAGAACGAGAGGAGGAGCTGGAGAAAGAAGAAAATAAAAAGACAGAGATGAAGGGGAAGGGAAAAAAAGAGAAGACTGAGAGGAGGAAAAGAAGATGTAAAGAGAATTAAAGTAAAAAAAAAAAAAGTAATAAAGATGGAAGGAGAAGGTCTAACATCCTCAAAATAAATCCTCTTGAGACCCGTGGCTAACACACAAACGCCAGAGGAAATTGAAGTACCGACCAAATGTAGTCATGAGTAGGGATTTATATGGTGTTTATACTAGCTGATATTTGTAGGCAATGTTTTCAGTACTATTTAATGAGTATGAAAATATTAGAGTTTCCAAAATCTGTATTGAACAACTTCTATTAAACCCACTTATGTACATATTGTTTAAAAGACCTGAAATCATCACAAAAGCAAACAAGATATTATCACATACGTTTCCAGGGATTTACTTCAAATAGTCCCTTGTATGCATCAGCCACAAAAAGGGTCCCATTCGGCCCTGCCCGGATGCCCAGGGGTCTCCCACAAGCAGGCTCATCATCTTGGGTTTCTAGGGAAACAAACGGAAAGGGATTGGTGGCTGGTCCAATATTTTGCCTGTGCTCCATCAGTGTCCAAGCACCTCATTCATCCCATCCCATCTACAGCATAGTGCTGTAGAGAAAAAGACCATGGCACTGGGGACAGACCCACTCCCCAGTATTCTAGCCCCCTGGAACTTAGAACAACTGTCCAGCATGTCCATAAGGACCACCTGAGAATCCAGATCTGGACATATTCACAGCAACTGGTACCCAAGAATCATGTCACATCAGCATCCCAAGACTTGAACAGTTAACTCAGGGACCTCAGGACCTATGCTTTAATTCCAGAATCCCCCCAGAACCTCAGGAGTTGGGAGGTTAATCCTGAATACTGTGCCCATCTAGGAGCATGACAGTTTCCTCTCCATCTAGCATAAAGGGAGAGTTACTATTTTAATCCTTAGATTAATTCTCCTGCTCTACACTCTTTTAATACCTGTGGCAATGCATATTTACTGCAGGTTATTCACTGTAGGGTGCTTACTGCAAGGATCCTTGCTCCAGGGTGCCCACTGTGGGGTGCTTACTGTGGGGTGCCCACTGTGGAATATTTACTACAGGGTGCCCACTATGGTGTGCTTACTCGGGCACTGAATGCAGGGATCCTTACTGCAGGGGTACACTGTGAGGTACTCATTACAGGGGTGCTTCTTCAGGGTGTTTATTACAGAGTGTTCAGTGTAGGGTTGCTTATAACAAGATGCTTACTGCGAAGTATTCACTGTAGGGGTACTTACAGCAGGATGTTTACTACAGGGTGTTTACTACAGAATGTTCACTGCAGGGGTACTTAGAGCAGGGGTGCTGGCTGCAGGGTGCTTACTATAGGGCATTTACAGCCAAAATATGGAGTGGAAAGAGACAGGTTAAAGAACCAGGTATAGAATATGATTTCATCACACATAACCATGTGTGGTTGACTGTGAGTATCCATGAACCAAGGGATATCTGAAAGTTTATTCATTAAAAAGTTATTCTGAGGGCTGGCCGAGTGACGTGTTGGTTAGGAGTTGGCTTGGGATGCCAGCTCTGAGCAGCAGGGACCCCAGTCGGATCCCACATGAGGGCCAGTGACGCTGCAGCCTCTACAGCTAAGATGGTGAACAACAGCTCGACCTGGAGCTGGGCTGCCGTGCGTCACTGGTGACCATGTAGACTGTAGTAGGGCTGGCCAGCAGCGGACGTGAGCTCTTGGAGCTGCTGTGAGCAGCCATCCAATGGCCGGCGAGCGACTGCCTCACCGGGGAAGAGCGCAATGATAATGCCAACATGGGCCAGTGAAGCGACATCCTCCACAACTAGACTGAGGAACAAAAGGACAGCAACTTGTCTGTTCCCCTTCCCTGATTCCCCAACGCTGTTCCCCTCCCTCAACTCCCCAGTAAAATCTTAAAAAAAAAAAAGTTATTCTGAGATAACCCTGGGGTGATTTTTTACTTTTTTCTTTGTACCTTTGTGTTCACATTTCACAATGAAAATGCATCATTTTTACAAAAATATTCTAGATATTAAAATATAATAACAAATAAGAAGTCTGGACTGCCAGTGTTTAAACAGTGAGAGTCTTCTACTCTAGTTTTCTAAAATTGGAGTGACATCAGGGTATTTTCACTTTGAATGACACTGCTGAAATTCCTGAGAAGCTAATGCAGGAATCACACTTAATCATCCAAGTAATGACAAAGCCAACTGCTTTGCTAATAGCAGCACTCAGACAACACCTACTAATCTTCTCCAAGTTACCTCAAAAGTGAACATGGGCCTCTGCAGAACAGTGAGGAGTGAGCCCAAGAAGTGACAAGCAGGTGCCACGATCACTGCCTAGATGGATAATAACTGCAACGCAAGGTAACAACAAGGCACTGTGAGGTCCAGGAACCACTGGCAAATGAAGGGCATGTACTAACACCAAAGTCAGGCCATCTGCCAGGTGGTCAGGGGTCTTTTTCTCTGAGGGTGAACCTGATTTACACAAGGCCATTCAGCACCTGTCCGAATGAATGGAAGAGACATACATCAGGGGGATTGTCTCTGACTTACTGCATGGGCCTGACCCAAACCGGGCGATGGTCTCTACTTCACCACTTTCAAATTTTATGATCCGGCCATCTGCTGTACCAGTAAACATCACATCTGTTTAAAATAGAAAAAGAAAAAGAAATAAGAGTGTTACTGGGTTAGCCTAAGAACTGTAATCGTACCACCTTCTAAAACAGAGGTGGCTTATTGGTGTTTTTCATCTCCAGAAAGGACATGGCAGTTCTGAAGATGAAGAAGTGATATTTGGGATCAAAAAGTCCTTAAAATGTGCAGTAATAAAATCATGGGGCCTGAGGCATCAGCCTGTGGAGCCTGAATCTGACACTGAAGCAAGGGTGCAGCAGACACCAGTCAGTGATAAAACTATGGGGATTTTCTACTCTAACAGCATAGGCTCTTGGGCTGGCACTCAGGTGCACATGTTCATGTCTGCATCACATCTGTGTCTGCTACTAAGGCTGACCATATACAACTAAAGAGGAAGAACTGCTAGGAAGTCCCTCAGGATAAAATTAAAGCACATTAAGTGCTCACTTCAGCAGCACATATACTAAAAGTGGAAAAATACAGAGATTAGCATGGCCCACACACAAGGATAACATGCAAATTCATGAAACATTACATACTCTTTAAATGTATATTACAAGCTCTAGGGCAACCGCTAAAAAAGCTTTAAAAAAAATGAAACTGATATGCTAAGAAAGGAGAGAAAATGGAATCATATAAAACTACAAAAGGCAGAAAGAGAGTGGAAGAAATAATTAGGAACAAAAAACAAAGGCAATGAATATAAAACAGTAACAGGGCTAGCTGAGTGGCTCAGTTGGTTAAGAGCACGAGCTCTGAGCAACAGTCACCGGTTTGATTCCCACATGAGCCACTGAGCTGCACCCGAACTGAGCTGCTGCTTAGCCGGTGAGAGCGTGTGCTCTTAGGAGCATGGTTGCCAGTTCAACACCCATAGCCCCACCATTCCCCACCAAATCCTCCCCCCGCCACAACTAAGACTGAACATGGCACCTTGAGCTGAACAGCCTGCGAGCTGCCGACGGGCAGCCGGATGGCTCAGTGTGCCACAGGATTGCCAGTTTAACTCCCACATGGGATACTGGACTGCACCACTCCTCCCCCATCCCCCCGCAACTAGGTTGAAAGTGGCAACTGGACTTGGATCTGAGCTTGTGCCCTCCACAACTAAGATTGAAGGGTAACAACTTGACTTGGAGCTGATGAGTCCTGGAAAAACACAATGTTGCCCTTCCCCAATTCCCCAACACTGCTCCCCTCCCCAATTCCCTAATAAAAATCTTAAAAAAAAAAAAAGTAACAAATACGGTAGATATTAATCCAACTGAATCAATTATTACTTTAGACATCAATGATCTCAATAGACCAATTAAAAGACAGAGACTTTGGGGGACAGGGTGAAAAGATGAAGGGATTAAGTATAAATTGGTAGTTACAAAATAGTTATGGGAATGTAAAGTAAAACATAGGGAATATGTATAGTCAATAATATGGTAATAGCTATGTACAGGGCCAGGTGAGTACTAGACTAATCAGGGGATCATTTCTTAAATTATACAAATGTCTAACCACTATGTTGTACACCTGAAATTAATATAAAATAATACTGAACATTAACTGTAATTGAAAAATTAAAAAGAGGGGGAAAGGTGAAGGGGAATAAGAGGTTCAAATTTCCAGGTATAAAACAAACAAATCATGGGGATGTAATGTACCACATGGGAAATATAGTCAATATATTATAATAGCATAGTATGGTGTCAGATGGTTGCTGGACTTATCATGGCGATCCCTTCTTTAGGTATATAAATGTTGAACAAATATGGTGTACACCTGAAACTGATATAATGTTGTATGTTAGTTATATGTTTTAATAAAAATCTTTTTTAAAAAAAGAAACCCACTTTAAATATATAGACATATAAATTAAAAATAAAGGAATGGAGAAAGATACTCATATATCATGCTAACACTACACCAAAGAGGTAGAATAGCTGTATTAATTTCAGACAGAGCCAACTTCAGAGCAAAGTTGTTAAGGACAAAAAGGACAATTGATAATGAAAAAGGGTCAGTTCTCCAAGAAGACATCATTAATATGTATGTGCCTAATAACAAATCATCAAAATATATGAGATAAAACTGATAGGACTGCAAGGAGAAATAGATTAATCCACTATCAGAGTTGGAAACTTCAACATCCCTCTATCAGAAATGGACAGGTCCTACAGACAGAAAATCAGTAAGGACATAGTGGAACTCAACAGCACCGTGGATGAACTGGATATAATTGACATCTATCAACTACATTATCCAAACACACTAGAATATATACATTCTTCTTAAGCTCACATGGAACATTCACCAAGAAAGAACACATTCTGGGCAATGAAACACACCTTACCAAATTTAAAAGAATAGAAATTATACAATTGCTCTCATACCACAATGGAATTAAACTAGAAATCAACAACAGAAAGATAGCTGGAAATATCCCCAAATACTTAGAGATTGAAAAACACACATTTCTCAATAACACATGGGTGAAAGAAGAAATCTCAAGAGAAATTAAAAAACATTTTGAACTAAATGAAAATAAAAAACAACTATTAAAATTTGTGGAACGCAGCAAAAGAAATGCTCCAAGAAAAATTTTCAGTGTCAAATGCATATATTAAAAGAGAGATCTATCACCAACCATCCAAGCTTCCATCTTAGAAAACTAGAAAAAGAAGAGCAATTAAATGCAAGGTAAGCAAAAGAAAGGAATAATAAAAATTAGAGCACATATCAATGAAACAGAAAACAGGAAACAATAGAGAAAAATCAACAAAACTAAAAGTTAGTTCTTTGAAAAGACTAATAATATTGATAAGTCATCTGGCCCAGGGGTTGGCAAACTGCGGCTCATGAGCCATATGCGGCTCTCTATCGAGTACATTCCATCTCAAAAGTTTGCCGACCCCTGGAAAAGCCAATCCTGTCCCTCACAACAATTTAAAAATTATTCGAAAGCCATATATTTTTACATAATCACCATTATGTGAATAATATCCTTTAAAAATTTTATAAATGAAACTATGGTAGTTTTATTTTCATTTTCAATTTTACTTCAGAGGCTTGCTGACCCCTGGTGGCTCTTCCATCTCAAAAATTTGCCAACTCCTGGTCTAGCCAGACTAAGAAAAAGAGCAGATGCAAATTACCAATCTCAGAAATGAAAGAGGGAACATCATTACAGACCCCATGGACATTATAAAGGAATATCATGAAAAACTCTATGCCCACAAATTTGATCATCTAGACCAGCGGTTCTCAACCTTCCTAATGCCATGACCCCTTAATACAGTTCCTCATGTTGTGGTGATCCCCAACCATAAAATTATTTTTGTTGCTACTCTATAACGGTAATTTTGTTATGAATTGTAATGTAAATATCTTTTTGTTTTCCGATGGTCTTAGGCGACCCCTGTGAAAGGGTCGTTCGATCCCCAAAGGGATCGCGCCCCACAGGTTGAGAACCGCTAATCTAGACTAAATGGACTAACTCCTTGAAAGACACAATTTGCCAAAACGCACACAAGATGAAATAGACAATTTGAATAGGCCATATCTATTGAAGAAATGAATCAATAATTAAAACCTTCCCAAACATAAAACACCAGGCTAAGATGGGTTCACTGGTACATACTACCAAACATTTGAGAAAGAGATGATATCAATTCTCTACAATCTCTTCCAAAAGACAGAAGCAGAGGGAATACTTCCTAACTCATTCTATGAAGCCAGCAGTGCCCTAATACCAAAACCAGACAAAGTTATTATAAGAAAAAATTTGGACCAATATCTCTCATGAACAAAAATACAAGAGTCCTCAACAAAATATTAGCAAATTGAATCCAACAATGTATAAAAAGAATTATACACCCAACCAAGTGGGATTTATCCCAGGTATGCAAGGCTAGTTCACCATTTGAAAACTCAATGAAGTAATCCATACTATCAACAGGCTAAAGGAAATCACATGGTCATATCAACAGATGCAGAAAAAGCATGTGACAAAATCCAACAGCCATTCATGATAAAACTTTCAACAAATTGGGAATATAGGGGAACTTCCTCAACTTGATAAACAACATCTATTTTAAAAACCCTACAGCTAACATCATATTTCATGGTGACAAACTAGAAGGTTTCCCACTGAAATCAGGAACAAGGCAAGGATGTCCCCTCTCACTACTCTTTTACAGTATTTTACTAGAAATCTTAGCTAATGCCGTAAGACAAGAAAAAGACATAAAAGCTAATACTGATTGGGAAAGAAGAAATAAAATTGTCTTTGTTCACAGATGACATGATTGTCTAAGGATAAAATCCAAAAGAATCAACAACACACACACACACACACACACACACACACACACACACACACACACACACAAACCTCCTGGAACTAATAAGCGATTATAGCAAGGTTACAAGATATAAAGATAATATACAAAAGTTAATCGTTTTCCTATATACCAGCAATGAACAAATTTGAAATTAAAAACAGAATATTATTTACATTAGCATCCAAAAGAATGAAATATTGAGGTCTAAGTATAATATGTACAAGATCTATATAAGAAAAACTAAAAAACTCTGATGAAAGATCAAACAACTAAATAAATGTAGAAATATCCCATGTTTATGGGTACGAAGATTCAATACTGTCAAGATGTCAGTTCTACTTATAGATTCAAAGCAATCAAAATCCCAGCAAGTTATTTTATAGATATCTACAAACTGATTCTAACGTTTACATGGAAAAGCAAAAGATCCAGAATAGCCAACCAATACTGAAGAAGAACAGCAAAGTCAGAGGAATGTCACTACTGACTTCAAGACTTACTATAAAGCTACAGTAATCACGACACTGTGGTAATGGCAAAAGAATACACAAATAGGTCAGTGGCATAGAATAGAGTCAAGAAACAGACCCACATAAATATAGTCAACTGATCTTTGACAAAGGAGCAAAGGTAATACAATAGAGCAAAAATAAAAATAGTCTTTTCTGCAAATGATGCTGGAAAAATTGGACATCCACATGCAAAACAAAATAAATCTAGACACAGACCTTACATCCTTCACAAAAATTAACTCAAAATGAATCAGACTTAAATGTAAAATGCAAAACTAAAGAACTCCTAGAAAATAACATAGAAGATAACTAGTTGACCTTGGGTATAGTGATGATGTTTTAGTGACAATCATAAAGGCACAAGCCATGAAAGAAATAATCAATAAACTGGTCTTCATTAAAATAAAAAACTTCTGCTCTATAAAGACACTGTCAAGAAGGGCTGGCCAAGTGGCTCAGTTGGTTAAGAGCTTGCTTAAGGGTGTGAACTCTCAGCACAGTGGTTTGATTCCCCACTGAGCCGCCAACAGGCGGCAGGATGGCGCAGCCAAAACAAAACAAAACAAAACAAAACAAAAAGACACTGTCAAGAGAATAAGAAGACAAGCCACAGGCTAGGAGAAAATATCTGCAGAAAACACATCTGATAAAAGACTGTTATTGGGCCGGCCAAGTGGCTCAGTTGGTTAAGAGCTCACTCAAGAGTTTGAGCTCTGAGCAACAGCGGTTCGAGTCCCTGCCTGAGATGAGCAGCCGCTGAGCTGCCAATAGGTGGCAGGATGGCTCAGCTAAAAAAATAAAAAATAATAAAATAAAAAGACTGTTATTCATTAATAAGCAAAGAACTCTTAAAATTTAACAATAAGAAAATGAGCAACCCAATTTTAAAAATCGCCAGAAGACTTAAACAGACACCTCACCAAAAGAAGAAATACAGGTGGCAAACAGGCATATGAAAAGATGCTCAACATCGTATGTCATTAGGGAAATGCAAATTAAAAAAATGAGATACCACTACACATCTATTATTAGGTTGGTACAAACGTAATTGCAGTTTTTGCATTGTTGAAATTTGCCTTTGATATTCTTAAATAAATGTTATGTTATACATCATTTAATGTACATTTCTTGCTTTATGTTTTTTTGCTAATGATTTATTACTTGCTGTTTATTTTATACGTATTTTAGACTATGGAAATGATGTTAGACAAAAAGCAAATTCGAGTGATTTTCTTATTCAAGTTCAAAATGGGTCGTAACACAGCAGAGACAACTCGCAATATCAACAACACATTTGGCCCAGGAACTGCTAACAAACGTTCAGTGCAGTGGTTTTTCAAGAAGTTTTGCAAAGGAGACGAGAGCCTTGAAGATGAGGAGTGTAGTGGCCAGCCATCAGAAGTTGAAAACAACCAACTGAGAGCAATCATCGAAGCTGATCCTCTACATAAGAAGTTGCCGAAGAATTCAACATCAACCATTCTAGTCATTTGGCATTTGAAGCAAATTGGAAAGGTGAAAAATCTCAATAAGTGAGTGCCTCATGAACTGACCGAAAATAAAAAAAAATCATCTTTTTGAAGTGTAGTCTTCTCTTATTCCATGCAACAACAATGAACCATTTCTTGATCAAATTGTGACATGCGACGAAAAGTGGATTGTATATGACAACCAGCAATGACCAACTCAGTGGTTGGACCGAGAAGACGCTCCAAAGCACTTCCCAAAGCCAAACTTGCACCAAAAAAAGGTCATAGTCACTGTTTGGTGGTCTGCTGCTGGTCTGATCCACTACAGCTTTCTGAATCCCAGTAAAACCATTACATCTGAGAAGTATGTTCAGCAAATTGATGGGATGCACCGAAAATTGCAACACCTGCAATCAGCATTGGTCAACAAAAAGGGCCCAATTCTTCTCCACGAAAACACCCGACCGCACGTCACACAACACACTTCAAAAGTTGAACGAATTGGGCTACAAAGTTTTGCCTCATCCACCATATTCACCTGACCTCTCACCAACCGACTACCACTTCTTCAAGCATCTCAACAACTTTTTGCAGAGAAAACGCTTCCACAACCAGCAGGATGCAGGAAATGCTTTCCAAAAGTTCATTGAATCCTGAAGCACGGATTTTTACGCTACAGGAATAAACAAACTTATTTCTCATTGGCAAAAATGTGTTGATTGAAATGGTTCCTATTTTGATTAATAAAGATGTGATTGAACATAGTTATAATGATTTGAAATTCACGGTCCAAAACCGCAATTACTTTTGCACAAACCTAGTATTATAGAATGGCCAAAATGTGGAACACTGACAACACCAAATGCTGGTGAGAATGTAGAGCAACAGCAAATTTCATCCATTGCTGGTGGGAATGCAAAATTGTACACCCATATTGGAAGACAGTTTGAAGGTTTCTTACAAAAGGAAAAATACTCCTACCTTAATATCCAGCAATTGTGCTCCTTGGTATTTACCCAAATGAGTTGAAAACATGTACATACAAAAACCTACATGTGGATATTTATTAATAATTGCCAAAACTTGGAAGCAACCAAGATGTCCTTCAATTAGTGAACAGATAAACTGTAGTACATCCAGAAAATGGATTATTCAGGAATAAAAAGGAAAGAGCTATGACGGCATGAAAAGACATGGAGGAAACTTAAATGCATATTACTAAGTGAAAGAAGCCAATCTGAAAGGGCTACAAGTTGTATGATTCCAACTACATGAAATTCTGGAAAAGGCAAAACTATGGAAGCAGTAAAAACATCACTGGTTGTCAGAAGTTAAGGGGAGGGAGGAATAAATTGACAGAGCACAGAGGATTTTTAGGGCAGTGAAATTGCTCTGTATGATATCAAAATAATGGATACATGTCACTATACATTTGTCCAAACCCACAGAATATACAACACCAACAGGGAACCACAACATAAACTATGGACTTTAGGTGATGATGATGTTTCAATTGTAACAAATGTACCATCTATTATGGAATGCTGATAATGGGAAAGGCTATGCGTATGTGGGGGTAGGGGATATATGGGAAATCTCTGTACCTCCCCCTCAATTTTGCTGTGCACCTAAAACTGCTCTAAAAAATAAAGTCTGTTTTTTAAAAATTAAAGCACGTTAATTGGTGATTACTCCTGGGGCTGGTGCCTCCCTCCACTGTTTGCAACATGCCAGCCACCCCCTAGAACAACTTCCAGACAAGGCAGCACCTGCAGGGCGCTAACTAGGATAGGTCCCACTGTACCTAACCAGAAGTGTCACCAAAAGATAATTAGTTCCTTTAGCTGGTGACAGTGTACAACGAGACATTAGCCCAACTGGAAAGGGAAAAGATAAGAAAAGCATCCTCTTTGGGAAAAAAGAAAATCACTTTAACTCCTCAAAGTTCCCGTTTTAAATATCAATATTTGATTTTCCACCCAAAAAACACAAAATGTGTAAATTTTATTATTAACAAACATCAGTGTCTTTTTAGAAGAAACATGGAATTCTATCATGAAATACTAATCTCTCTTGAAGCAATTTTGACTTTGCCAGCCAAACAAACAATTGCAGAAAGGCACCAGTCTTTAGGTCCCACATCAAACAGCAGCACTCGGAAAGACAAGCTGGTCAATATCACCAGAGGAGTGGCCCTGACCTGCGTTCAAAACAAAACAGAGGGGCACCCCGGACGCAAGTGTCCACAACCACTTCACAGAAAACATACTGTACTATGGAATGAGGAGCAGAGTGCCAGTTAAGCTGCTCAGAAATTCTCACACCATTTTAAGTTCAGCAATGTTTTCATTAACTTTATCTTTTGATTCCTAAGCCTAATTCTAATTCTCATTCTAACAGAAAATGCCCTGTTTCAAGTGGCTAGAGACTAAGTATTAGGACTAGACCCAATTCTATTTCTTAGGTTTGGGCAAGTCTGAAGAAGATAGCTAATCTTAAATATACTCACCAAAGTGAGCTTAAAAAAAAAAAAAGTGGAAATATTGAGAATTGTTCATATTCTTTTCAAAAATGAAATCTATACAAATGAAACTAAGAAACAATGTCTTGTCAAGTAATACCTACCTAACTTTGATAAATGAACTAAACATCATGGTCTGCATTTTTCCTTTTGCCTTTCATTTTAATGGGTCCAACAGTTTCAGCAGAATAAACTATTCCACATACATGAACTCGAAATCACCCAGTACTGAAATGGCCCACAACCTGGAGAGCTGAGATGCTCCTGCCGGATGTCTGCTCAACAAGCACACACACGTCCCACATCCTCAGCTAAGGAAGTCGAGGGCTCCCCTACCCAGGAGCCATTGTGGCTGCTCCTATAGAATCCCTCTTTCAAGCAACAGAAGCCTCAATGGAACCCCAGTAGACTCCGCAATTCCAAAGGTTTACTTACCCCCAATATTTGCTATTGATTCTGGCCCAACAAGTTGATTTTCAAATAGCCTCTCCGCCTGTCGTAACTTTGTATTTGGTTGCAGAACACCAAGCATGAGAGGGGGTTCTTTGAGGCTGTAAAATAATACAATTATAGGAATTTATCTACAGAAAATACATGAAAAAAGTGTTTACTGAGGACCTATGACATGCATAATTCTGTTTGATAAATGTTCATTCCAATCATATCCTTATTTGCCAGAAACACAAAGGTTAAGAAAAAACTGTCCTGGGATCTCAGAAAAGGTCATAGCACCAAATAAAACTGAAGATATAAATACGGCTAATGCAAGAACTTTGGCAATCACCTGCCACCTGAGAGCACCCCAGGGCCTCCACCCACCTGAGCTTCTTGTCACCGGTCCAATGCCTCACAGCAGGTTAGAGCTCCTCACACCCTCTGATTCACACACCCTGGCATTTACACTCCCAGTGGTTGCCCTCCCATTAAAGTCCAACGGAGATGGAGGGGAGCCGTGTTGACATTTCACAGCTGACGGCCTTGCTTCCTGCTTCATGGAGAAGACAGAAAAAAAAGAGAGGAGGCCAGCCTGGAACGGGTGCCACCACGCCATCGTCCAGCACTGGCGCACTCTCAGGACCCACCTGGCTTCTCTCTAAAGTCAGCCTCCACTGGGCCCGGACCCCTCCCCTCACACAGACTGCTCTCCAGGAACACTTCCCTCTCCGAGTCCTTCCCACCCATCTGCAAAGATGCTGTTTCTCCCAGTCCAACAGCAAACAATGCTGATGCCACCTCCAAAAAAAAGACATCGCTGAACCTCTTTGTCCCATGTCCTCTGCTACCATCCTGGTCCAGGTCACCACCTTCTCTCCCCTGCTTCCTCCCTTGTCCCCTACAGTCTATTCTCAACCCAGAATCCCCTGTGAATCCTGTAGTTAGATCACAGCATTTGTCTGCTCTGCTCAAAGCTCTGTGACGGCCCCATCTCTGTGAGAGCCTAAGTCCTTGCAGTGGCCCTTAGCCCTCCACCATCTAGCCTGTCACCTCCCTTACCTCCTCTAGCAGTAGTTCACTCTGATCCTCCACACCAGCCCCTCCCTGCTGATTCCTGACTGCACCGGGCATCTCCCATCTTAAGTCCTTTGCACTGGCTAGTCCCTCCACCCTCACCTTCTCAGTGAGGCCTGCTCTGACCACCCAATTTAATATTCAGTACCTCCCCCCAAAACCCAGCCTTCCCCCCCGCCCCCACCATGCCTCCACAATTTGGTTCACAGCCCTTGTCAGCTTCTCAGTTCTGTTATGTTGATTGTGTCTATCCTCACTAGAGCACATGAGAGATCAGGGATTTGTTCTGGGTTTTTCACTGTTGTATCCCAAGTACCTGGCAATCAGGAAGTTCCCAAAGAACACTGCAGGAGGACAGGGGGAGGGGGAGTATTTCCCAATTCCCTGCCTCCCCTGCCCTTCCGCAAGGCAGTTTCCTAGCCAGCCGGTCAGAGTGGGAGAACCAAGGAGGCGGGCATGGTTGAGGATGTGGAATGGTGGAAAAGCTCTCTGCCACCACCTGAGTGGGCACCTATGCAGGACACAGCACAACTCCCCCAAAATTAAATTGCCCCTCTTTCACTCTCTGCCCTGCCCCCAAATTATGGCTTTCAACCTGCTTGGGAAAATAAACAAAAACAAAAAAACAAAACAAAACAAAAAAACACTCTTGGTTTACTAGGAGTTTTATTTGCAAAGGGAAAGCAGGACTGCCACCTGCATGTTTTGATGAAAAAAGCCTGGGCTAAGGAGTTGGACACACATGGGTTCAAATTCTGACCTTGGTAAGGTCACACCTCCCAAGGTACATGTGAAGATTGAACAACATAGACAAGCACATAAAGCCAGGGATAGAGGACAGTATACCTGACACTCAGCCAGCCCCTCTCGCCTGGTTCTAGGACCTTGCCTAATTCCCTACACACAGGAATTCCTCAGGAAATATTTGTAGAATCAAACTAATCAGTATATTGCACATTGTTCCTGCACACATGGAGCCTGAGTATTATCTCAATAGGGAGACAAGAAAAGTTATCTGAAAAAATACAAAGGACAGGCAAGAAAGGGCTCCCCCTCCTGCAGCTGGGCAGCAGAAGCACCAAGGAGTTGCCCCAGGAAGCCCAAGTCAGCACAGTCAGCCAGACTACATGTACTCTGGTTAAAGCCAGTGACCTTCTGTTAACTCTTATTAACTCCTGTTAATTCATAATAATTCCTGCTAACTCCTGCTAACTCTGTGTGTCAAATGTATCCTGAAAGACACTGGTCAACATCCTCCAGAAATCAGGTGTCACACATATTGTGTCTATAACAGTCTTCCAATCTTCCAAAAAGGAAAAGAAGGTGGCTTTGCACAGCAGGTTTTTGGCAAAGCCCTGAAGCCTTCCAGGTGGCTTTGCTCCCTAGAACTGAAATCAACTGCACAACAATCTGCTCTGGAAGGGTTCCACCCCTCCCGATCTGGTCTGTCTGTTTTCTGATTTCTCAGAAATGTCTAAGCAGATCTAAGCTCACACGGAGGTCATTTAGCACCTGAAGGTAGACTACCCAAGGAACTGCCATTGCTCACCTCCTGCCCTGCCAGCTGGCCTGATCAAATGGATCATGGAGCGCTCCCTCAGCTGGGAGATGACCAAGGCAGAGCAAGAGGTGGTGGCTCTGCTTTCCTGTCCTCATCAACACTGCATCACTAGCCCCAGTGGGTCCCCCCTTCCTTGCTCTTTTTGCTCTGAACAGTTTTAAAGAAGCCTTTTTTGCTGTTATCATTAGCATTTTCCCCAAACCTCAGTTTATTTCTGTTCTTAAATTCTCGGCCAGTCTTCTGCTTTTGTTCTGCATTTTGGGGCCCATGCTTCCAATTTTTGAGCAAGTCATTCCATAAATCTGAGCCTGTGGAAGCGATCCAGTCAGCCACAATGGTTTCCCTGGGTTTCTCCTCCCTTCCTTCCTCATCAGACTCATCTATTCCCCAGGCAGAATTCACCTGCCCAACTTCAAATCCTTACTGGGCTGTTTCCTTTCAGTTTCTGGTCACTAGTACAGACCCATCTTGCCTCTGAATTTCTTCACCACGCTTTCCACACATAAATTCATCTTTATTGAGATCACAGGTCATCAGTCACTTAAGCTCCATCCCTCCCACTCCAACTCAGAAACTCCACCTTCACCTGCTCTCTCCAATTTCCTCCCCTTTCCCAAGGCTAGCTCCCCAGCCCAGGTTCTGATCTCCAGCTGTGGACACAGTTCACTCTCTCGCCTTGCCAACTTGATAGAAAAGCCCAGGTCAGTTTCTATTTGGGGTGGGCTGAGCCACATCCTTGCACATGTTGACAGAGGTTAGCAAGAGAGAGGCCCCTTCCCTCAATGAGTCCTAGAACCCCCCGAGAGAAAGATATGTGCAAAGGTACACTGACACATCAGGAATTACAGAGCAAACACGCTTACGAGTCAAGAGTGCCCAGGCTTTCACCCATTCTCAACTTTATGCAAGCATGTTTAAACAACACCTTGTACTTTTACTATTTCTAAATCCAGCAACTAAAAGTTGACTCTTCTATACATATGTCAATAAGATCAGAACTGTTTCCTCTGTATCCAACTGGATACCTGCCTCAAGCATACTAGGTGCTGAATACATTTTTAGTGAACTGAATCCAGTATTAAATCTTTTTGTTGTTTTCTTTTAAAGATTTTATTGGGGAATTGGGGTAGGGGAACAGCATCAGGGAATGGGGAAGGGGAACAGACAAGTTGCTGTCCTTTTGTTCTTCAGTCTAGTTGTGGAGGACGTTGCTTCACTGGCCCATGTTGGTATTATCATAGTGCTCTTCCCATATGAGGCAGATCGGTCGCCAGCCACTAGACACCCACTCACGGCGGCTCTTGGCAGCTCACGCCAGCTGGCAGCCACTCACGCTGACTGCTGGCCACTCATGGTAGCTTATGGCAGCCCACTGCAGCCTACGCTGTTGCCTGCGACTCATGGTAGCCCAGCTCCAGGTCGAGCTGTTGTTCACCATCTTAGTTGTAGAGGGCAGCATCACTGGCCCTCATGTGGGATCTGAACCAGGGCCCTGCTGCTCAGAGCTGGCGTCCTAAGCCAACTCTTAGCCAACCTGCCACTCGACTGGCCCTACGATATAAAATCTTAAGTTTTACTTACAAACACATTATATAGCTGTATATATTATATTCAGTCTATAATGAGATGTGGACTAACTTGCTTAAAATAAACTTCAGGCAACTCACCCCTCTGGGCAGATGCAAGGGAAAACAGGCACTTACTGAACCAGATGGTGCAAGCCTCTTACACCACCTTGACATTGATGTCATAAATCACACCAATAAGAACATGGCTCTAATATTACTCTAATTAAAAATGTGAATACATTTCATGGAACCGCCCCCCCCCCACCAGGTATATATACTCCTAGGTATATATTATTTTTTCAAGTTATAATGGACTGTATTATTTATAGATCCCCACTGATAAAAGGTAACTTAGGGCTTTTTGAGCTTCCTCTACTCAGCCCGCTCCAAACTCTTTGGAGTGTACTTTCTTTTCTAACAATGGCCCTTGAGCCATTCTCTACTGCTTGGGCCCGCTTCTGCTTCTTTGAAATGTATTTTTTCTTCTAATGAACTGTCCTTTTCTGCAACTTTACCTCTCCGGTCCATGTCTCCATTCTTTGGTTCCACGAGACCATGATCCCAGTACACACATACAATCACACATCAAAAAATCCTGCTTCAGGCCCGGCCGAGTGGCGCGATGGTTAAGAGCTGGCTTGGGACGCCAGAGGGCCCCGGTTCGGATCCCACATATGAGGGCCAGTGACACTGCCCTCCACAGCTAAGATGCTGAACAACAGCTCAACCTGGAGCTGGGCTGCCGTGAGTCGCCGGTGACCACGACGGCGTGGGCTGCAGCCCCTGCTGCTGTGGGTTGCCATGGGTTACCGTATGTAGCCAGCAGCCAGCGTGAGTGGCCAGCAGCCTGCGTGAGCGGCCGTCCAGAAGCCGGCGACTGATCTCGCCAGGGAAGAGCGCAATGATGGTGCCAACTTGGGCCAGTGAAGCAACGTCCTCCACAGCTAGACTGAAGAACAAAAGGACAGCAACTTGTCTGTTCCCATCCCCCAATTCCCCAATAAAATCTTTAAAAAAAAAAAAATCCTGCTTCAGTACTAATTCCATATCTATTTAAATGTTAATTCTTTTATTTATGCTTACGAGTTAAAAATGTAACTCTAGAAATCAATAACGATATCCATGTGCAATACCCTGGAATACGATAACTGGTTTTGTTGAACTTACGACGACCCTGCAATGAGGAAGAGCTCTTGGATTTCTATGATGCATAAATATCGTAAATTTGTTACTGGTACATAAAAATTTCTTGTACCTTGTATCTGTTCTTGTGTTTTGTCATTATTTGTTACATAAAATTTCTTGTATTGGCCAGCCGAGTGCGTCAGTTGGTTAAGAGCTCGCTCAAGAGTTTCAGCTCTGAGCAACAGTGGTTCGAGTCCAGCCCGAGCTGAGCTACCGCTGAGCTGCCAACAGGTGGCAGAATGGCTCAGCCAAAAAAAAAAAATTTTCTTGTACCATATGTTAAACATAAATGCTAAAATTCCTTTATAATACAAAAGACAAGTACCTAAATGTCAACAAATAAAAATTTGAAAATAAAAAGGTAACAGGAAAAAGAGAACACCACTTCCAAGTTTTTTTAAAAATCAGTTACTTATAAAATAAGTAAAACAAGGTAATTTACACTTTATTAATTAAATTTATTGGTGTGACATTGGTTAGTAAAATTATATAGGTTTCTAATGTACATGTCTATAATACATCATCTATATATTGCATTGTGTGTTCATCACCCAGGTCAGTTCTCCTTTGTGTGTGCTTTTGCCACTTCATATGACTTCAGGTTAATTGTGTCTACCACTATTTAAGCTTCTCTTATTTGGGATTTTTCTGATTTTTGTTTTTGGTTTATACAGTTTTGTTTTTGAAACAATAACCTGAGCAATACCATGCATATATTCTGTGGAACATCTGATTCCACATAAATCACAGGCACTAAAATAATCACAAACTCTATTTCTCACAATAACTTACCTTTCAGACCAGATTGGTTTAATTGCTCTAGAAATCATCTCAGCCTATTATATTTTGCTGAGCTACCCCTCCCTAAAATTGCTGCGGCAGCTCACCTGAGAGGCTGTGGATCTATGGGAGAATCCAGCAGCATGATGGCTCCAAGCAGAGGAACAACGAGGGAGACAGCCAGCATCAAGAAGGTCACTTGGAAAACTCTGCTGCTAAAGGAGCTGCCAGAAATAAAATATACAAAGGCAATCAGCAGAGGCTAAGATGGTGATAAGCTCAGCTGGTCTTTAAAACCCTTTCAAGCCCTTTCAGTAGGGGCAGGCCTCTTACCCAGTGTTCCCTGTACAAGGCCACCAACCTCTGTGGCTTGTGATTAAATTTGAGCACTATTTGCTAGAATTGGCAAACATGCTTTTGTTCTTTTTTGTTTTTAAATATTCCAGCTGTGTGGGACATTGTCATCAGTTATTTTACAGATAATATGATAGGCTGTATCTTGAATCCTCTAATAGAGTTTTAAAGAGGGAAAACTCAAAGAATTGATGAACACAAAAAATGGGAAAATAGGGCTGGCCGAGTGGCTCAGTTGGTTAAGAGCTTGCTCAAGTGTTTGAGCTCTGAGCAACAGCGGTTCGAGTCCCGGCCCGAGCTGAGCAGCCGCTGAGCTGCCAACAGGTGTAGCAGGATGGCTCAGCTACAAAAAAAAATAGTTACAATAAGGGAAGGGAGACACTCATCTACAGAGAAGAGAGGTATTTCCCAAAAGTCACTATTTCCTCCTACATGGATTCAGTACGGTGTATCCCTAAAATACTCAGGGTTTGTGGATAAACGAGGCAGAGACAAATTCATAAAGCAGATGAAAGCAAACAATTCCTGAGCATCTGATTCCCCACTCATTTGCAGACCACACCTTTAAGAACTCAAAACATAATCCCAGCTCTCACTTGGAAGAGTCTTATAAAAGCTGACAGTTATTTATGAAGAATCTATAAAATTACAATTCTAAATCATCGTTACTTAAAGCCCTGGTAAGATCTTAAAGCTGCCTTAGGAATCTTGCATTAAGTTTTTGGACAAATGATCAACAGTGACTAAAATCTCTCTCAAACGATTCTCACATGCATCATTACTCATCTGGTAAACAAGTGAGCATAGTTAGCCTCTTGCTACTAAATAAACTTTACAGGATCATTATTTGCTTATATTAAGTGCATTCAAGTTTACTAAACACTTGACATCAAGATTAACTTAAAGCAAATAAAATCATGAGCTCCTAAGAAGGAGAATATTTTTCTATCAAAAAATAAGGTAAGTTAAAGAAAAAAATCAACACTCATATTTAACAAAACAAACTTGATTTAAGGACAGTGTTTTGTTTGATTTTGACAGGATAGTGTTCTGCTGTGTAAACCTGTTCCAGGTAGAAATGTCCTAACTTCCCAACAAACAGCCAGTCCTAACTTCCCAACAAACAGCCAAGCCACTGCAGGTGAGTTTCTTCACCCAAAGCCCACCAGCTCTCCTCCGTGAAATGGGGTATGGGGTAGGGAACCTCAAAGTCCTGCCCAGTTCTGAACATGCATGATTTTATTAAATGAATAAAGCAAAAAATAAGTCATTCTGTTTCTATAGGGGTAGACAGAAATGAAAGGCAAAGGGAAAAGAAAGACAAAAGAGGGGAGAGGTTTTCAGAGTGTCATCCTGTAGACATCTGGGACAGCACAAATGAAGAGTGTTTGAATTCTGCCAACAATCTTGAATGGGCAGGAAACAGGTTCTTCCCCTAGAGCCTCCAAAGAGGAACACATAGCCCTATGACACCTTGATTTCAACATGGTGACCTGACCAGGACTTGTGACCTCCAGAATAAGATAATCAACTTGTGTTGTTTAATCCACTAAGTGTGTGGTCATTTGTCACAACAGCCATAGAAAACTAATACATTTTCCTAATTAAGCTAATTTTATTACCTGGAAGTGGGACACTGCTATAACAAATATCTAAAAATGTGGAAGCAGCCTTGAAATCAGGATGTGGGTAGAGGATAGAATTTTGAGAAGAAAGATACACCAAGTCTAAATTTCCTTGAACAGAATGTTAGTAGAAATACAGATGTTAAAGACTCTGTTAGCAAGGGCTCAGAAGGAAGTGAAGGCCATGGTAGAGAAAACATATATCATCTTAGAGAATACCTAAATCATCAGAAACAGACTGTTAGCATAAATATGGACATAGAAGGCACTGCTGGTGAGCACACACTATAAAAAGCTGAAGACTCTAGAAGCCACTCAGTGCTCCCAAGACTAGCCAGCCCCTGGATCGCCTATACCAAATAACCAGGGCAGCTTTATATAAAGCCCAGAGATTCAGAATGGGTAGGTCCAGCATGGGCCTGGGAAACTTTTTTTTTTCCCTCCATGCTTCCCAGTTCTTCCTGATGCGCAGCTGGACAACACCAACATTACCTAACTCCCTCCCCAGTAAAAGAAGTCTATCAACACCCCCTTGGCTGATCATCAGCTAGCCTCTATTGGAAAGTTCTGTGGTTACCTTTTAGAAATAGAACCTTAAACTCCTTAAGTAGTGCTGTCCAACAGAACTTCCTGCAATGATAGAAATACTAGCCATGTGTGGCTGCTGAGCACTTGAAATGGAGCTAGTGTGTTATATAAACGAGCCAAAGACCACCTGTGTGTATCAACCCTTGGGTTATTTCTTCACTGCAGGCTATGAGACCCATTAGGTCAAAAGGCACACCACTGTCAAACTCCAAGTTTTACATATCCAATTATTTTAAAATATAGCCCAAACAAGCAATGTTTCGCCATTTAGAGCCTGCCTACTTTCCATATTCTGTGAAGCCTCACCTGACAGCTGTTGTCCAATGATAAGAGGGCCAATCCTCGAACCAAGGCCGTCTGCTGCTAGTGCCAGGCTTAGGGCAGCTCAGCCAGAGGTAAGGGACACGCTCAATCCAGGTGCCGCTTGTTTGGGTTCCACATACCTTTGAGAGACCCTATGAAAGTCTGCAGCATGAGCCAAGACAGGTGGTTTGTATCAAAAAAGCCACCGGACACAGCTTGGGTGTGCCCAAAAGTTGGGTGGGGAGAGGTCTCTGAATTACCAGGGCAGGGCGAATAAATCGTGTCAGCCAGCTTGCTGGAGATTCAGATATGGTGGCCACCTGTGTCTGCACACTGGGAAGGGGGAGGGATCAACAAAGAAACAATGGCTTCTGCAAGCTCCATCATCCAGGATAAAGCTGCCCCTCCAGCCCTTGTCCTGAAGCCAGACGACTCAGCTCCCCACCACCCCCAGCTCTGGCTCCTGATGTCCCTATCACCTCTCTCTAGCTGTTGCCCCGGCACGTGAGCTCAGAACCAGTGATTCTGTTGTTGGTAAGTACATGCATAGTCCCTTTAAGACAAGCACCTAAGACTCCAGCAGACCTCTGTCTCAGCTTCAATCTCTGCTGGTTTTCACAACCAGAAATTATGGGGACTTTTCTCCCTGGCACTGGAAACCTGGACTGGGGAGTCCTGTGTGGCACTGGGACCCCTTGTTCCTTCAGGGGAGACTTCTGCAGGTGAGATATTCCTCCCAATTTTTAATGGTCACATGCGGGTGTTGGACCAGCCTGTTCCAGGTCTCTGCCCTTCCTACCAGTCTCGAGGTGGCTTCTTCTGTATGTCCTAAGTTGTAGATCTTCTGTTCAACAAGATTTCAGGTGATTCTCATTGATGGTTGTTTTTTAGTTTAGTTGTAACTTTGATGTGGTTGGGAGAGAAGTTAAGCACCACATTTACGTACTCTGCCATCTTGACTGGAACTCAAAGTCAAGAAAATATCTTAAATGAATATAATGCAAAGGGCACACTGGAAAAGATCAGCAGATAATGATTTTGGAACATCCAATTTACGCTGCCATTAAGTCAGAAATCCCCACAGAAAAACAAACAAACAAAAAACTTAATTAACTCTGTCCCTCTCCCCCAGGGCTGAGTGTCAGAGGAGTCCAGCTGAGAGCTGGACCCATCCAAGTGCCCTCAGGGGCTATATGCCTTGTTTTTCAACACACTGCACCTCATGGCAAACTCAGAGCCCAAGTGAGTTTCCTTTTCTCATGTAAAAGTGTATGTCGCAATGCCTTGTTTTTAATGGTTTCTGTAGTAAAGCACTGCCAGTCCTTGCATGTCTCTTCTCATAGGCTCCTCACTCATCAGCAGAGGAGGATTTCACAATAAGCACAGTCAATACGGTAATCAACTCGTCCCAGTCTGCCAAGGTTAACACTGAAAGTCCTGCATCCATGGAAGCACCTGAGTCCAGGGAAAACCAGAATGGTTGGTCACCCTATTGTCAGGACTATATCGTATTTCGATCTTTCCTCTGACCCCAGGAGTCAGCTATTACCAAAAAGTCTTCTCTGCGAATTGCCTTTCTAGAGCCAAAACACTCCTGTTACAGCTCTCCTTCAGAGGTATTCCTCGTATTGTCAGTGAATAAATTCACTATGTACCACACCTCTTAGCACACCAATAAATATGTCTAATATTCCTATCAACTTACAAGTCAACCAGTTCCACAACTTTGAGCTTGGACTACATAGGGTCTCTTGGTTCTCCCAAAACATTCAAAGTAAGGAGAATCTGGACACAAAATTAAAAAGAGAAGTTTAAGTATTTTACATTGCAATAGAAATGTTTGAGGATCATGCTTCAGTTTTTAGCTAACAAAACTTCGCATACTTAAATTCTGTAAAGTTGGGAGAAGCAGCAAAGACCGAAAATCTGACATTTCTTTCACTAGGCATCAACAACTAGTTTCCTATGCTTGTCTGTCCCTATCAGGAAAAATCTGCATGGCTGAATTCTCACGAAAATTGCCTAACAAAGTCCCTTCTGTTCTCTCCTCTTTCCCGAAAACCGCAGTGAGGCCGGGTCTCACGCAAGGAGAGAGGGTCAGGTGGAGAGAGGGACAGGTGCAGAGAGGCCAGCTCCTCGCTAGATCACGAGGAGCTATCCGAATATTTTTTTCAGACGTCCCTTCAGGACAGTGCGTGCGCGGGATCCAGAAGACCTAGGGCCGTGGTTAGGTGGCTCTCCCGGGGGATCAAGTAAGCCAGCAGAAAGGACAGCACGGAGGGTAAGGGAGAAGGAGGGAAAGGCGAGGAAACCACAGCTCTGGAAGCTGGGGCGGGAGTGAGAGACAAGAGGGGCAGGTGCGGCGTGAGGCGGTCTCCGGACCAGCAGCCAGGAATTAACGCTGCGATAGGGCGCACGGTGCGCCCAAAGCCTCCCGGACCAGGCAGTTGCATCTGGTTGGTCCGAGTCTGTTTCCTCCGGGAGAATAAAATGACACGGCGCATACCGCGCGCTGGCACCGCATTTACCCTTCTGAGGTTATTGTCATCCTAGAGCTAGGGGGTCGGCCCCGCGGCTCGCGGACCAGGTCTGGAGGCCCAGCCTACCTCCCGTCCTTGACCTCCGGGGTCTGGCCATCGTCCGCGACGACCTGCGGCTGCAGAGGACGTCGCTGCCGCAGCCCGTCCGCGTCGCCCATGCTGCGCCTCCCGCCGCGGCCCACCCAGCCAGCACTGGAACAGAGTCGGGCAGGCTCGAAGGCTGCCTCGCCCCGCCTCCCCGCACCGCGTCGCCCCTGTCTCGGCTGCGCGCGAAAGTGACGTGTCTGGCCCCGCCTCTTCCCGTCGCAGAGTTGACTTTCTCCTGGGCTTCGCTCCGTGAGAGCTCCTTCGGTGTGTCGTCCTGGCGGTTTCGAGTCGCCGGAACCTCGGGTTGTACCCAGGCCGGGCGAGGTGATTGGAAGCCGTTCTCGAGCGAGTGCCTTGGCCCGCCGCGGCTTCCGGACCCCGAAATGCGCGTGGCCCAGCACAGCCCCTGCGCTGCCGCCTTTTATTTCATTTCTTATGATGAACGCCAATAATCGTGCACATCGACATTGCTGGTCCCAGGTGTTGGTGTCTGTGTCGGTCGAGAGGATGGCGCTGCTTATTAATGACAAAGACCCTTGTTCCTACAGGCAGTGTAAAAAATAATGAGTTCATATCCTTAGAGGAACAGGAGCGCAACAGCCCCTACCTAAAAATTATACGATTTTTTTCCAAACCAAGCCAATTAAGGGGAAAACTTCGGCTAGAAAATGTTGTCCCTTTGGTTAAAGCCAGGTGTTGAGTGTTAGGTCATTTTGTGATAACAGACATTTGATAAAGTTTATTAAATGATAAAAAAAATGCGATGTTCTAAATTACGGTGACCTGGAGAGTGAAAGAGACAAAATCATTAGTCAGTTAATGGTTGCTGAACTGCTAACAAAACACTTTTCACATTCCTCTTTTGCCTGTTAGAATTTTGGATTAATTTCCAGGTGGCTATTTCCACAGATTATTTTAGCCAGGCACCATGTAATTCCAGGAGCCCGCCCCCCACTTGTTTACTGGAGGGCTTTCTGATTGCTGCCCCCAGCCAATCTACAGGAGCGACATTTCTTTCTTTTTTTTTAAAGTTTGTAGCAGAGGATAGTTTTATTAGAGCAGAAAGTTACAGCTCTTGAAACTATAGAGGGTCCCGACTGGGATGTCCCCAGGAGTGACATTTCTTTATGAGGACTCTGCATCTACCCCAGAGCTGACCCCCTTTACCTTTTCCCACCCCTTTGCCTATCTATAGCTTATGTAAATTCTTTTATACTACCACTGTCTTCTCCCTTCCCCCTACATCAAGGGGCCCTACTTGATGTATAAAATGCTTGCAGATCTCTGGGACCGCAGACATGCTGGTTTTTTTTTCTACCTAGCCACGCCCAAGTACTTTAGACTCCATGCCCCAAGACCCATATTTTGGCTAGCCTTTTTGGGTCAATGAAACCTTACTTAAAATAGAACTTTCAGCGTGGAAGTTAAAAATTTTAGTCTAACATATCAAACGGTTACCCTTAGAAGTAAAGGCAGGGTTTAAATAGAAACCATCATTAATAACAAAATCTAACAGCATGAAGTCATCATCAGGGCATTCATTAACATTATTTTAGTGAGCCAGGTATATTTCTAGGTGCTGGAAGTTGATGATGAGCAACCCATAAACAAACTTGCTCACGTATAGAAATTTACCTAAAGGCGAGATGACTTTAATCAGATTATCATAATAAATGTAAAATTTTAAATGTAATAATTGCATGAAAGGAGAATAACGTGATCTTGTGAGAGCATTTGACAGATGAAGGAAAGATAAATATGATTTGGGGAAGGAACAGGGAGGAGGATTTCCAGGCAGAGAAAACCCAAGTCCTGTTACTATATATCATCTCTAGAAAATGCGTGCTCCTAATGAAATATTAAGAATTTCCTCATTGCACTCAAAGGCTTTCTTAATGGTAACGTGCCTTTACCTTTCTTAGTGCTAGATGGCATTAGAATCCCACGACTGTTCCATAAGAAAAGAGATGAGGAGCCAACAGAGGGAAGCGAAGAGTTCTACAAATCCAGGTTTTTAGGGATTCCAGGTTATAATTCAGGCATTGGCAATATTTTACTTCATTCCCTGTTGAATACAACCAGTGTAGCTATTACATCAGGGACACTTTTAACAGTATGAGTGCTGCATGATCTGGCCCTTCCTGCATGTCTGGATTATTCTCCTGCCCTGAAGCCTGTGTTTCAGACACAAGATTGCTTGCTATTTCTAATTCTATGCCTTCCTGCCTTTGTCCACATTATTCCTTCTCCTTGTAATAATGCTTTCCTTCACCTCTACCTGGCCAAAAACATTTTTATCATTCAGGGCCTACTTCAAGTATGATTGCTGAAAATTGTTCCCCTAATTTCTCAAGCAGAAAATGTCTTTATTTCTAAGGCACTTTGAACATGCCCTGATTATAGGACTTAGCCCATTGCATTGGAGTTATTTGTATTCCATGCCCAATGTTAAAGCTCTCCAACCAAAAATAGCCAGGAACATATCTATAAAAATGTAATAATAAATTAGTGTGCAGCACAGTGACTGGTTAATAATACTGTATTGAATATTTGAAAGTTGCTAAGAGAACAGATCTTAGTTCTATAGATCTTAGTTCTCATCACAAGAAAAAAATCTGTGCATGATAAAGGATGTTAACTGGATGTGGCAATCATCTCACAATATATACAAATACTGAATCATGTTGTGTCGAGAGCCGGCTCGACAGCCAGGCCACCTGGATAATCAGGCCAGGAACCCACCAAACAGTCCCTGAGCAGGATTGATTGGCGCAAGGAAATGAGAAAAGAAAGAGATGGCATAGACACCAAAGTTGGGATTAGGAGGTTCACTAACTGCTGATGGCAGCTAGTGACAGCGTTTATTAAAAAACATATTGCATATATAGAAAGCAAGTTCCCCTTTTACCAGGAATCATTTCTTATCTAAGCATAGGGGATTTGGTAGGGGGTTCTTTGGGGAATGGGGAACCAATGTTCCTGACTTAGGGGTTTGGAGGTGAGATAATCTCTTGGCAACAAGTTACATGATTACATAGCATAGATTAATAATATATTTTAAGTAAGGTGAAACTTAAGGCAAATAACAACTGTCAGCAAGTCCATGATTGAAAGTCCCAAAGTTCATAAGTCCATGGTGGAAGGTTTCAAAGTTCATAAGTCCATAGACAGTGCCATCTGAGAGTCTGGTGGTTGTGGTTTAGGAACTTCTGCTTTTCCGTGGCACAGGAGATGAGTTAACCTGTTTCTCCAGCAGTTCCTCCTTTTGCTGTTGCGCTAACATGCAGTTTTGCAGTCTTTTTCCTCAGCACACAGAACATGGGGGTCTGTAGCCACCTGCCATTCTCTACCTGCAGTCAGCCCAGAGTCTCATTACTCTGATACGGCTCTCAACAATGTTGTTTACCTGAAACTAATATAATGCTGTATATCAATTATTCCTCAATAAAAAAATAACAAGTTAGGTTTATTGAACTTGCTGTAGCAAACGAATGTACCAGAGGCCTTGTGAGGCTCCTTAAAGCAGTGGAGTTATGGAAGGGTCCTCTTGGGTTTTGGGGACTAGAAGTTGTCACAAATAGTGCTAGCAGGGATAGGTCAGAATTTGTAAACTAGGAGAGTCGCTGAAAGGAGTCAGTGATTTTTATCTTGGGGCACATGGTCTGAGCTTAGGTAATTTATGTTGCACAGCACAGTTTAGTATCATTTTTCTGTTTGCGAGTCATGGTGAGGTGCACTTTGTTAGTTATGATTTATTTCAGTTATCAGTCCCTGTGTAGGGACCCAGGCCCAGACCCTAGGCTAAGCAAGCTCATTTCGGAGAGTACCCCCGCCCAGAGGAATTTTAAAAGCTCCTGCTTCAGCAAAAACCGTAACAAATTGTCTTGTCAAGAAAGTAGAAGAAGATAAACAAAGTATATGACTTGTTAGGAAAAGATAAACAAGTCATGTTTTATCGCCTGTCAAGAAGATAAGCAAGTTATGTATTAGCTCGTTAAAAATAATAACCTAACTGTGTTTTATAGTTTGTTAAAATAAGATAAACTAACCATTTTTTTCCCCTTTGTACACACTAACTGCTTTTTTTGCTTCTGTATCCAGCTTCAGCTATAAATTCCTTACCCACCAAGACTTAGGTGCTGATCTCTTCTCTTGAGAGAGACAGTCCCAGGCCTGGTCAATAAAGTCTCTGGAACGAAAACCTTTTGTGCAAGTTTTATTAAGGAGCCGTGAACCTAACACCTGTTACTCCAACCTCCAGCCTAACTGCCACCCAGTTATTGGCAGTAGGATGAGAACCCTATGATTGGTTAGACTAGGTTCAGCTTCAGCACTACTGACATTTTGGGGCGGATAATTTTTTGTTGGAGGTGGGGGAGAAGCTATTCTGTCCATTGTAAGATGTTTATCAGTATCCCTGGCCTCCATCCACTAGATATCAATAGCATACCACCTAGTCATGATAATCAGTAATGTACCTGGACATTGCCAAGTGTCCCCTAGGGGACAAAATAGCCCCTGGTTGAGAACCACTGGGTTAGACCAACCAGAACCCACCCCTCAACCCCCTGTACCCTAAGACTGGGGATGAGTCCCACTTCCATTGAAACACTGGCCCACATAGAGGGCATTTATCTCAACTAAATCAGGGTTCTGCCAGCATGGAAGCAGTGGTGCTGGGCAGGCAGCCAATAGTGTACCTCACAGCTAATACTAGAAACACACCCTATTTCCAGTCCTGTGCTTTTTCCTAATCCCATGCTGTTTCTATTTCTTCCACAGATATTTCCTGAAAGCCTTCCAGTTGCTCAACCAAGTGCTGTGACAAAACAAAGGTGAAAGAAGGTGAGTCAATGTGCAGGAACATTACAGTCTGGGAGGGGAGATAAGAAGCATAATTATCAACATAAAACAATGCCACAGAAGAACCACAGGGTGCCTTGCAGGCAGGGAGGAACAAATCCCATAAAGTGGGAGTGACTGGAGAAGGCTTCTTGGAGGAAGCGACCTTTGAACCAGGTCTTGGATGAGTAAGATTATTATGGGCAGGCTGAGGGGATGGAAAAAGACAAAAAAGAGGCTAAGAGGCAAGTGTGGCAGGACCCAAGGGAGTGACAATCAGGGTAGACTTCAAGGTTACAAGTAATCTAGGAAGAACTCTGTGAAAGGAGCGAAGAAGATCAGAAATGGGCTGAGCCCTTCCCGTCCCCAGATCCAGGAGAGCAGAAGTGGCCTGCTTGGAACAAGGTTTCAGGCTAAGTTATTGTGTTGTGATGGGAAGCTCTGGTTTCAGCTCAGGAGGACCTTGTATGTTGCCACACAGCTTTCTAGCCATCTGTCCCCCCGTGCTTAACCCTAAACTGACCATTTTGAGGACACTGCTCATACACCTTGCATCTCCCTGTTTGGCCCCAAAAGATGGCTGGTTAGTCAACAACGGGTAAGATTCCTCGCTGAAGGAACAACCTAAGACAGGCACAGTCGCATGGAGCCATCAGGAGAAATCTCGGGGCTGATGGAGGTGTGCATGGGTCCTTACCCTCCCCCAAAGAGACAGGAGGTCTTCTACCCCTGTAGCTACATTCCTTCCCTCAACCTGCTTGGGAAGTGACCTGATGATTTGTCCTCAGCCGAATGATCTTATCTTCCTGGGGTCGTGTGCATATAGGGTGTGTGAAGGCAGAGCATCTGTCTTATCCCCAGGAGCAGGTGGACTCTCGGTAATAGCAGCTTGCAGGCATGGGTAACCTGGCTTGCGCACGTTCTCAGGAATGAGACTCACAGACTGTGGAGAGAACAATGCTACTTCCGGGTATGTGGAGAAATAAAAGCGGTGTGTTGTCCCGATTCGGGGCTCTTAGTCCACGAGGCTGGAGACCCTCAGCCCCTCACTCATTTAACTATTGGCTGCTGTTTCTTTTCATTCTTAACCCTTCGCTGCCCCCTCTCATTCTCCCACTGCCCATGTCGTGCGGGAAGCGACACTTATATAGTATAAAATTAGAGGATGTAGACTAGCTTTTTCACAGTAGAAAAAGCATCTTAGAGATCAGTCAGCTGTCAAAAAGAGACATTCATAAAAGCCAGTTGAAGATGAGGGAGGGATTTACGAGTATAGAAAGGATATGGGGATAACTTATGGACCTCAGCACAGAAAGTACAACCAGGCTTCACAGACACTGAAACGAGGACCTGGACAAACAGGAGTAAAATACCTCTCCACCTCCTGATGCCTCGTGGTATTTATCTCTGCATCCCCTCCATGATTCTGTGCAAGACCTGTTGCTTGGCTGACCTTCTTCTCTTTTGCCACCCTCCACTCTAGAACTGGAAAAGATACACTGTCACTTTTCCAGCTCTTGAAGCTAAGGTGGTCACAGGCAAGGTTATGACTTGAGAGAAAAGCAGAAATTTAGGAATTATTTTCACCTCTAGGAAAGTTTTTGCTTTTCTAATAAAAGGGAGAGATGGGGTTGTCCCTGCCCTTTCTCTCCTGACCTGAACCCCAGAGTTATACTTAAAATGGCAGCAGCGACTTATGACTGTAGGAGACACCTGAAGTCTAAAGGACAACATGCTGAGAACAAAAAACCTGAGGTCCTTGGTGGGATGATTGAGATGCTGACCCACTGCCAACAACCACCTACCCCTGGGCTTCTTGTTACAAGGGGAAAACAATCCCATGTGCATCTAGGCCACTGTCAGCTGACTGTTTGTGCTTGTACCTGAACACATTCCATCTGATATGCCAGCATTCTCTGCTCAAGCATGCCTATGACATGAAATTATTGCCTCAAGCCCAACTCTCCATGACTTCCACACCAACTAACAGCCTCTTTGTCCAAAGTCCAGATTCCTGGACTGAGAATCTGATGTTTCCAACTTCAGTGAGGTGCCCAAGCCTGGATGATTACCTGTGTTAGAGGACAGGATAACATGGCCCACTGACCATTTGATGGGAACCAGGAGAACAGACTAGACCAGCGGTTCTCAACCTTCCTAATGCCGCGACCCCTTAATACAGTTCCTCATGTTGTGGTGATCCCCAACCATAAAATTATTTTCATTGCTACTCTATAACTGTAATTTTGCTACTGTTATGAATCGTAATGTAAATATCTTTTTGTTTTCTGATGGTCTTAGGTGACCCCTGTGAAAGGGCCGTTCGACCCCCAAAGGGGTCACGACCCACAGGTTGAGAACCGCTGGACTAGACAGTATAAGCGTGAGCAGAGCAGACTGTTACATGGAATGACGTAGGCCCCAGTGAGAAGCAGGCAGGCATAGAGGTGAGGATTATATTATAAATAGGATAACTGGAGAAAAAGGCTTCAATAGCCTTAATGAGGAAGATTCTTAAGGTCAACCCAGAATCAGTGAGAAAAGGTGCTCAGTAAGAAAGACATGCAACAGTCAACGTCTGCCATGGGCATGATGTTCATGTTTGTTATCTGTTGAAAAGTGAACTTGATACGGGAGAGCCCCCCCACTATAGGCATTTTAAGTCTCCTTTTCCCTAGTTTCTTAGCTTCCTGGTTCCTGATGTTAATCACCTTTCAAATCAGCTTTTAAATCTTAAACGGAAGGTTGTTTTTAACCTGAATCATAGGAAGTCTCCTACCCCTTGCTTCAGATAATTACCCCCAAACCTGTGATTTATGCTTACTGATTGTAGTCATTGTGGCCCAGCTCCTGGGTGAACAACGCCACCTGAATGACCAGTTAAACCACAGGAAAAGGCCACAGCTCCATGAAGCTAAACAGACTTTCCATCACACAGCCACCTTGCATTGATGGCTTTGGGTCCTGCTTCTTGGGCCAACACTTTTAACTCTGTTTAATCAAAATCTATCTCTCTTCATCTAGGGGCTGATGGGATACAAATGATGCCCCAGTGAGACTTCCAGTACATCCCATCCAAAGAGGGTCCACATGGCCTTCTGGGTGGATCCTGAGACCCCGTCCCCTCATCTAAGATCAGATAAAGCAAGAGTTCCGTGAATCCCCGATAGGTAGGGACAATGGCCACATTCAGCAGGAAGCAGATACAGAAGAGCTCTCCTGTCCCTCAACTTCTCATAGAGATTTATGGGGATCACATCTCTCAAGGGGAACATGAGGCAGGCAGTTAGAGACAGGAATTGGGTCTCTAATATGCCCAAACACGTCAGGTAACATTACTGCACATCCAACATGGCCTACGAAGTGCGACTGCCCAGAAGACCTCCCCTCTCTGCCCAAACCTTGTCTTATCCACTATAACCATCAACTACTATGAAGAAGCTAACGGATACAAAATACCTAACTAGATTAGACCGATCACTCACACCTGTGCAGTAAATGCTACAATGACCTTCATCTCACCTTAGCCTCATTATACCATCATTATAATATCATACATATGCCCAGAAGTTCATTAATATCATTATAATAGAATGAATTCTGGGAAGGAATACACACAGTCTGAAAAGATGAGGTAGTAGTCTCCTGTCAATCATAAGTACCAATTAAGAGACCCCACTCCCAGAAAGGAGTAGCCTATTATAGAAGAGAAGGAAATAAAAACTCCGAGTCCTCACCAGTAGGCACCTTTTGAGCCACCATGTTGCTCAGCCCGCTCCTATTTCTTTGGAGTGTACTTTCACTTCCAATAAACTGCTCTTTCACAACTGTATTTCTGTCTCATTCAATTCTTTGCTCAAGATGCCAAGAACCTGGACACCACACTGAGAAGGGTCTGTTCTCCAGTAACTTACCTGTCTTTTGTTCCCTTGGGACTCCTTTTTTTTTTTTTAAGGTTTTTATTGGGGAATTGGGGGGATGGGAACAGTGCTGGGGAATTGGGGAAGGGGAAAAGACAAGTTGCTGTTGTTTTGTTCTTCAGTCTAGTTGTGGAGGAAGTTGCTTCACTGGCCCAAGTTGGCACCATCATTGCGCTCTTCCTGGGTGAGGCATGCTTGACCTCCAAATTCATATGTTGAAATCCTAACCCCCCAAGGTGATAGTATCAGGAGGTGGTACCTTTGATAGGTGATTGGGTCATGAGGGTGGAGCCTTCATGAATGGGATTAAGTGCCCTTATAAAAGATCCCAGAGAGTTCCCTTGGTCTTATCATGTGATGACTCAGCAACAAGATGACCACCAGTGAACCAGGGATTGGTTCTCACCAGACAGTGAATCTGCCAGAGCCTTGATCTTGAACTTCCCAGCCTCCAGAACTGTGAGAAATAAATTGTTGTTTATAAACTACTCAGTACATGGTATTTTGTTATAGAAGCTTGGATGGACTAAAATAACTGCTAACCTACTTTTTTTGTGGATATAGTCCAAGAATACAGACTGTACATAGAATGTTATGCAATGTAGATGAGAAATGTGGCACAAATAGAAGAACCATTACAATATAAATAAAACCTGGTACAAAATTATCTTGATCCTGAAGCTTAAAGAGCTGGGAATCTCTAAATAGGGTGTGTTAATAATCAGTCATTAGCTGTAGAGGTACAGATTAGTCAGTGATAAAGAGTAATAGAATAGTTTTCAAACCATTACTTTTCTAGTCATTCCTTTTTTCTGGAACATTCTCCCTAGAGAGTTGCAGTTAATACTTAGTACAACCTTTGAAATTTGTCTCTTTGTGGGACTTTGGTTCAGAAATAACCTTTATGATTTGGTCATATGAAGCCATTATGTATAACTTGCATATTCAAAGCACAAGAGAGACATTTTATGAAATTATCTTCCATTAAATCATGTTTTGGAAGCAACTTCTTGTGCTAACATCTTATTTCCAAACTGTTGAGTTGTATGGAGATTTCTACTTTCTTGAGTTCAAGTAATTAAGACACTGATAAAAATAAATTCTATTTTCTCTCAAAACCGGCCCTAAATCAGTTACATGCCGATTGCTATTCCCAGAGCTATGGATTTTTTTGGGTCTCGTCGGCTTTCCAAGTCCATGTCTTCTGCTGGGGCCTGAGTTCATGATGGGCTGCTGTCTGTGGAAAATGTGGTAGTCACCAGGCAAAGCTCCCAAGGACCAGGCTCACCTGGCTGCTCAGTGAAAACACAGATTCCTGGGCTCTATCTTGGAATTGCTAAGCTTGGATCTAAGGAGGTTGGAGTCTGGAAATCTAGATTCTTAACAATTCCCAGGTGTCTACACAGTCAGCCAGGCCCTAGTGACCAGCTTTTGGGGGATCACTGATCAAGCCCAACACTAAATGTATTTCCTTCTATTTCAATGTTAGAAAGTGACCTAGATAGAGCTTTCAAACTGGGAGATATAAAATTATATATATATATATATATATATATATATATATATATATATATATATATACTTTTTTTGGGTTACATATAACAAATAGAAATGTGTAAAAAACACTAATGTACAGATTAACAAATTAACATAAAACAATAATCCAGGTAATCCCCACCAAAGTCATGACTTGAAACATTGACAGCATGTCAGAAGTCACCCTCTGTCCATTCTTCATCATAATTTGTGCTCCCACTGCCAAGTCATAGCTCCTCAGGGTCCCAGCCCAAAGGAGGGTTGTTTTATCAGGGTCTTGCCTAAGTTCCCCCAGTCCCTTTCAGCTCAGAGCTGCCTCTGCAGGCAGGCAGTCCTTCAGGTTGGTGATGGGGGTGACTCTCCTGGTCCACAATCTTAGGGACACTAGACTTAAGAGTTCTATCCCTCTCAAAACTGGAATGGTATGTATATTTCCCTATTTCCTCTTTAAGCAGTGATGCTCAACTTGGTCTTTTAAAAGGATCTGGGAGCTTTCAAAGCTTCCACTGATACCCAAGCCATACCCCAGATCAATTACATGGGAATTTCTAGGGTGGGACGCAGGTATCAGCTGTTTAAAGCTTTCTAGATGATTCTAATATGCAGCCAAAGTTGAGAACCACTGTATTAAAGTTCAGCATTCTAGGGTAACACAATTCATAATGACCAGTTGAAGCATTTGCTACTGCTTAACGGCACACATTTATTTTCACTTTGCCTTTGAGTCCAGTCACTACCACTATGAAGGTCACAACACCCCTGCTATCATGTCTAACCACTGGGTGTTCCTCCTGGCACAGGTCATTTAAGAGGAAGCAAACTGGAAAACCAGTGCCATGAAGTGGAAAGGGCAGAAAGAAGTACTGGTCAGCTTAGTGTTGTCTCTAAGGGGTGACAGACTAGAGGGCAAGAATCCTACTCTAAATAAATCCAGAAGTAGAAAAGGGAAAAAAGCCAGATGTTGAATGTCCTAGTACAGTGTTAACAAACCAGTAAGTACTAAGGAGTTCAGAAAACCTGATGGAATAGTTGGTCTGCCAACTTCACTTGCAAAATGGTGAAATTTTCTGGGTAAGAGCCACCAACTGGGTAACTTGAGTTGTCTAGTCTCCCTGCTCCTGCAGATCCAAACTTCTACCAAGCAGCCTTCTGAATAAATAGACACACCTGGGACCAATTCCTTTTCTAAAGGACATCACCTCACCCAACCACACATCTTTTTATTCCTGAGTCAAGGAAACCTTTAATGCTTACAGGTATGCATATGTTTGTTCAAAAAGGGACAGCAGAAATCAGCCAAATGGAAATGATTAGTTGCTTTCAATAAATGGCTTCTGGCTATAATGAAACGTGATTACTGAGTATGACCTGTGCCAAACATGAAACATCAGTGTTAAAGAGTCCCAAGGGGGCCGGCTGAGTGGCGCGATGGTTAAGGGCCGGCTTGGGACGCCAGAGGGCCCTGGTTCAGATCCCACATATGAGGGCCAGTGACACTGCCCTCTACAGCTAAGATGCTGAACAACAGCTCAACCTGGAGTCAGGCTGCCTGTGAGTCACAGGCGACAGCGTAGGCTGTGGCCCCTGCTGCAGTGGGTTGCCATGGGCTACTGTAGCCAGCAGCCAGCGTGAGCGGCCAGCAGCCGCAGTGAGCGGCCGTCCAGAAGCCGGCGACTGATCTGCCTCGCCCAGGAAGAGCGCAATGATAATGCCAACATGGGCCAGTGAAGCAACGTCCTCCACAACTAGACTGAAGAACAAAAGGACAGCAACTTGTCTGTTCCCCTCCCCCAATTCCCCAGCGCTGTTCCCAACTGGTATTCATAAACCCAGAAACGATGTTTACTTGTAAAATTCCCAATGATGAGGCAAAAACTTAAATAACTCAGATTAGAGGTCACTAAAGCTCAAATTGGCATCATCACTCCTCCTCCCTTTCCCCAAAGCCACTGTCCCCAGGAAGGCTTCTTCTTGGCCAGGATTTCAGCTTCTTCTTTTCTCTATCGGTAATAACAATTCATAGAGCTGCTCAGAGGTCAACAGTCAGGTGCCTTAAAAAAATAAAACAATAAAGTAAAGTAAAATGCTGTTGTGATTACTCAAAGCTCTCCCAGGAGGGGGCCACACCTCTGGCTTTCGCATGGGGGTCAAGGGTGGAGGCAGACAAGCTCCATCCAAATCCTAGCTCTGCCACTTTCCCCACCTCTTCTGGGAAGTGGAGACAGTATCGACCTTGGAAAGCAGTATGCGGGTGAAATGGGTCATGGAATCAAGAACCTGCTCAGAGCCTCCTTGCACACGGTACTCAGTAATGTAAGCATGTCTGTTGTCGTTCCCAGTGTTGGGTGTCATGAGGGCAGCGGGTGCAAGTCGGCTCTGCAAGGACCAGCACAACTCACGGTGATTCCACAGCTCAGTCTCCGCTCCTCAGTCAGGCTGAGGAAATGGATGACACTTCACACTGTTTTCTTCATTACGAACTCAGCTGTTGTGGGTGAGCCAGGAACAAGTCTGTGCCTGAATCGCCTCATGATTTACTTCTAGATAAATGTTGGGCAAATCATGAACGTTAGACATTTCTTTTTTCCATTTTTATATTTGAAAGGGACCTATTTCCCTTTGGAAATTAAACATGTTGAAAGCTGAATTTTCCCTTTGAGCATGATAACTTTTGCTCTAGCCACTTTAAATGGAAATTATTCTTAAAAGGCACTGCATACTGCTTTTCTGAATTTAAATTTAATTTGCTTTGGGGGCTTATGGTTATTATGAATGTAATATATCACACTGGCCTGAGACGTACTTAATGGTCAGATCAGCTGTCACTGAATTCCGTCTAATTTATTGTCTGTGTGCTCCCGTACTATTAGATGTCTCACCTCTGCTTTCACAGTCGCTGTCTGCTCTTCTCTCTGCTTCTCGGTATCACTGACTTTGATCTTTGTCAGGATGTTTCAGTTAAGACAGAAAATCCAAAGCAGGAAGTGAAGTCCAGTGGTAGGGTGGGCCTGGTGTAGCTTGGCCAGGCCTCCATACGTCATCCCTGAACTCCATGTCTTCTGCACTGCTCTATTCCCAGGCAGGTACTGCCCCATGGTGACTAAAAGGCTACTGTAGCTTATCTCTGTGTCCTGTCTTGTTTGGTGGATGCATGGGCCATAGCCCCTTTCCCAATGGCATCTTCATGTCTGCTTCTCAGTGGCCCTGACAGCATCAAATGACCAGGCCGGAACCTGTCACTTAGGCTAAGGCCATAATGCTGGGAATGACCGTCACAAACCCCCTAGCAGCCAGGGTGGGTCCCTGACAAAGTAGGGGACAAGATAGTCCCTAACATCAATCAGGGTGGGTTTACCAGAGAGGGGCAGGAAGGACAACTTGACCTGTTAAAAATCTATAAGCCGCTCATGATGCCCCACTAGAAACTGTATGGATATCGGCTATTCCGGAAAGATAACAGCCCTCCTGTGACTTCCCACAGCACCCAGAAGTGCAAAATGTGTCTTTTCCAAGTGAGTTGCCTTTCTGTGCATTCAGACTACTTCAGATGGGCACCTAGAACTCTCCCTTGCCTCCCTCCCCCTATCCCTGAGGCACAAGAACAAATACTGTCCCTGGGGCTAGCCATTCCCAGCTCCTGTTTTGGAGGCAGCAGTGGGTCCAGGCTTTGTGGGAGCTGACCAGGTCTTTCACATCCCACCTCTCATGGCACAGCTTCAATGTCTTTCTTCTAAGATTTGTCTTGCTGTCTAGTGAAGGACATGGAAAACCTCACCCACCCATATCTAAAGTAGGACAACCTGGGCTATGGGATGTCTCACAGGCAAGCCTGTGCTTTTCCTGTATGTAGTCTGTGATGTTGATCTTTTTGCAACCTCATTCTCACCTATGTTATGTATCAGCACTTGCCACCAGACCCTGTGCGATGACAGGAATGTTCTCAGCTGTGTGTCCAATCTGGTAGCTACTAACCATGTGTGGCTACTGAGCACTTGAACTATGTCTACTGCCACTAAGGAACTGAATATTCTATTCTATGTTATTCTTTTTTAAACTTAAAACTAAATAGCCACATGTGACTAGTGTATTAGATAGCACAAGAATCTAGAGATAAGTAAATTTACCAAATAATAGACTAAGATAGGTGACCTCTTATTGTTTATTTCCTCCCTGTCAGATGATGAATGTTTTAAGTGTTCTCTTTTGATTGAATAGGCCCCTTCCAGTTTTGTCCTTAGGATATATTCAGCAACAAAGAATAGCATTTAATCAAAAACATCACTACAAACAGAAAAGAATGAACAAAATAAAGCTGTATTTGAACTGCTTTGCAGATCATTCTGAGGCCCTGGTCACTGTCTGAGTTTATATCTATGCCATTTCATAAATAGCACCATAACTACAGTCTGCCAAGTCCAGCACAAATGTGACAGGTCCAGATGCATGGTTCTTTGTGGCTAAGTGCTGAAACAACAGACAGTCACTCAGTATATCTGTGTGCTATGGCCACCCCTTTGGGGATCACAGGCATACCTGCCTCATCACCTTAGAGGACAGCACAGCTATGGTCTACAATAAGTGTTCAGCACCACAGACACCCCTCAAACACCTACACAGGTGCAGGGCACTATAAACTGTGGGGTAAAGACAAGGGCAACCTTTCCCTGTCCTCAAGGACCTAGCTCAGCAGGCTACCTTCCCCTGCACTCCATGCCATCAGCCCTGGCATGCTTGGCTAATAAATACACACTTAGTGACATGATTTATATCATCTTGCTACCATTCAGAGGACTTAAGTCACATTGAAAGAGAGAAGCTTGATTCAGAGCTCCAGCTCTCATCACTGGACCTCGATGGTTCTTACGACCCAACCACAGAATGAAGGACAGGCAGAGTTTGCAAGGACCTAGTTCTAGCCAAATTAATGCTCTAAGTTACCTGAGTTTTCCTGGCTTCCCTGAACCACCCCACAAATTTGAGCATGTTGACCTCCTACCAAGAGGCATTTAAGGTGGGAGGGTAAATCTTTCCAGATCACAGCTTGGAGAAACAGAACATGTGGCTGGAGTAGCTTTAGAACTAAAAGGTGAGCACATTCATACCATCACTTTAGGAGCTGGGTTTCATTATACACAAACCAAGGGAAGTAGAAATACACACCAAAAAAAGATGCTGCAGGCTCGAGCATTCTCAAGAGAGCTGTATTTAGACAAGAGGTATAAACATTTTCAATTCAGATTTCCAGATATGCCAAACAATAATTAAAAGTGCACCCTCTGATTCAATATTTTTCCCCACAAGTGAAGGCAGAAAAGTTTTATAACTCTAAATGTTACAAAGAGCATGTACAAGCAAATGCATACATTTCGTGTGTGGGCTTACACATTATCCTTCTAAAATATAAAAGTATAAAAATAAGATCTCAGCCTTTTATATCTAGAAACATCTGGAAAAAAACGACTGCTTCTAGTTCTCAGCCATCTGAGCAGGCATGCTTTTCCAGGATTTTCACCTTCCTGTGCTGTCTGGAGAGGACACACAAACAGAGACACTAGGGACTTTTCATTCCAAGAAACCAAATTCAAGACAAGTAAAACAAATACTAACCACATTGGACAGTACCCCTGCATGGATTCTTCAATGGAAAGAAGGGAGGGATTTTAGCATGGACTTCTCATTAGGGGTGGTGTAGGTTATGTACTGGGAGGGAACTGCTCTGGGACATCTAAGAATAAGCCACCTGAGATACGTTCTAGAAGGATAAGTTAGGTGCTTGGGCTCAGGGTCTTGGTCAGAGCCATCACTGACCAGCAGCCCTCTTGTCTATGTGCTTCTGGTAGGCGCTCAATATTTCTGTGATGATGCTGGGGTCCTCCAGGGTGGTGGTGTCCCCCAGGTCTTGAGCTCCACCTGTGATTATCTTTCTCAGGAGCCGCCGCATGACTTTTCCAGACCGAGTTTTTGGAAGACGTTTCACTATCTGGTAAGGAAGAGGTGCAGTGTTAGAACCTGAGGTGGCACCCAGACTCCCAGCCAGCTTCTGACTATGTTGAAATTAGACGGGCTCTGCCCAGGGGATAGTGGAGCCTCTGATCTCTAGTTTCATTTTCTACAATCTGGACCTGAAGCTGTAATCAACCCAAAGGGCAGGATCAACCGTGAGTCCTGCTGAAGCCTCCACTATGCCAGGGTCTACCTGTACCTGGGTTCACCTCACTGCCAACACCTCTGTTTCTCCCATCAGGTATGCTAGTAAGGGCCCCAAGGTAGCAACAGAATCAAGCATGGGCCACAGCACTTCGTCTCCACTCCCTGGCCTGGGCTGGGGTTGGTTTTGTCTTAACATATGAGGTGAGAGATACTTAAGGGGAAAAAAACATTGTCTTGCTTAGTATTTGAAATTTTAGCATTTTACATTTTAAACAGATGTGGCCCATTCAGTGTCAATGGCAATACATTAGGAGCTGTGTTTGGGTGCTTTAATAGTGACTTGTCTCTTAAAAGAATTCAGTTCTCCTAAGGGGTATTTAGGACTCCCCGAAACTCTGATCCCCAGGGCAACAGTTTGACCTCACCAAGTGAGGCCTCATAGGACCACTTCCAGACCAAGGAACGCCATGGGGGAAATGTTAACAAAGAAAGGAATGAAAAACTAATGGTGCTGAGAGGGTAGGCCAATTTTCCATGGAACTGACTCCAACACAGGCTCCCTCAGATAGAGTCTAGCAACATCTCCCTCAATAGCACCAGGAAAGGGTGTTCAGAAACCACATAGGAGCTGAAGAACACTGGTATACTCCACATGCTTCTTTACTTAAAATCCCCAATTTTCTTCTATTCCTGTAGCCAGCCTCCATATGCAAAGTTAGAGAGCATCTAATCTTGCCCAGCACTACCCCTTGAACAGGCAAGACGTGCAAGCTTCTGCTGCTGCATCTCCCTGCCCCTCTCCCTCTGACAATGCAGCCATCCACCACCCTCACCCACCACCAAGGAAACCAAACAGCTAGTTTGCTGTGATGTTAGTTGTGGGAAACAGAGAAGAAGGCATAAGATGAGCAGTGCAGTCACACCGGAGGCGGAAGTCCACTCACCAAAATCTGATCAGGCACGGCGTACTTGGCAATCTTGGTGGCCACTGTGGACCTGAGCTCACTCAATACCATATCCGAGTCACCTACATTATCTTTCAACACAATAAAGGCAAATGCAGCTGGAAGGAGAGCAAAGTTTTGGGATGTGTTAGCCAGTGTGGTACACAAATCGCCATAAATCCAAACATATCAAATCATATGTTGGTGACCTTGTAGCAACTGGTTTCTTTAGTTGCAGCCCTCAAAATGCATTATCATTTTCATTCAAAGTGGAAGCGATGATTCTGTCAGCTCCACTGAACGTCCCAGGTGGGGAGACATGCATAGTTGAGAGCTTGGCACCATGGTTCTGATGTTGACTAGCTGTGCATGTGACCTTGGACATGGGACTTAACCTCTCTGACTGTCCCTATACCTGTGAAATAGCCCGTAAAATAGGTTTATAGGAGATTTACTATCAGCTCTCATGAGATGGTACGTGGCACTAACCTGTGTATGTGTCCAACACTGTAAGTATTAGCCACAGTGGATATCTAAATTTAAATTAAGTTAAAAATGCAGTTCCTTGGTCACATAAGCCATATATAGCTAGTGGGTACAGTACTGACAACACATATGAAGGGCAGCTCCGTCATGGCAAGAAGTCTGTTGGACGACATTGGCCAACCAATACTTTAGCATAGACACTACGTTTTGTTTGTCAGTATCCTACCATGTTCCAGAAAAGATTTACAGTGGCTCCCACAGGTCTCTGAATACATTTGTTTTTAATCTACCTGGGATAATCATATATATGGTATGACACTGGGATCTAATTCTGTTTTCTCTCCATATGAGTAGTCACGTATCCCAGCACCATCTTGGACAATCTGTTCTTTCACCACTGACCTGCAGTGTTCCCCTCTCTCATACACGATGTGTCCACATATGTGCAGCCCTCTTTTTTGTGCATTTGCCTGTTTATTCCTGTATGAATTCCACCCCATCTAAATAAATTCTCCCTCTGGCAAATATCACTTAACATGCTACATAGTTTCCTCATTGATTATGTTTACTGTTTATTGTCTGTCTCTCCCCTCTACTGCCTAACCCCTCCAGTATGTCAGCTCTATGGAGCAGAGACTTCATCTCCTTCACTCACTACTGTGTCTCAACATCTAGAACTGTGCCTGGAATATAGTAGGTGCTCAACAAATGTTTGTTAAATGCATCAATGAATGACTTTCCTGAATAAGTTACAATCCATAGAGACCTACAGCCTTTGCCTGCCCTGCTTTCCCGCACCCCCTCCCACCCCCACAAACTCTTATTCATCCCTCAAGGCCCAGTTCAGCTATCCTGCACTCTGTGAAGTTTTTCCTGACCCTGTCCATGAATATAACTGTGGCACTTGCTATATGTGAACAGTTGTTGGTCCTCAACAGTGTCCACCCTACTAAGTTGTGAGATCTTTGAGTAGAAGAGCTGTATTTTTCTCTCATTTTGGTATGTGCAATGCCAGGTAGTTTAGACCCACACCACAGGGGCTTGGAAGAAACGGGCAAAGCCTACACCTAAGCAGGCTGGGAAGGCCCACCGAGTGAGGTCTGCTGTGGATTTAATTATCATTAATTAAAAATTTAAAACCACTAAAGCAACACACAATGACTACCACAATTTAAAACACTGTAAAAGTATATAAAATAAAACTGCCCCTCTCCTCCCTGCCTTTCTCCCTTTATTCCTGCACTAAAAACAATGCAGCATGATGGTTCGGAGAGGCTGCTCTCGTTCCAAATCCTGACTCTGCCACTTGCTAGCTGTGTGGCCTTGCTATCTATGTGTAAGCCACTTAACCACTCTGTGCCACAGTTTTCTACTTAGAAAATGGGGAGTTAACAGTACCTACCTCACAGCTGTGAGTCAGGATTAAATAGTGACAGCCCCTAAATAGAACCCAAAATAGGCAGGTTCTCGGGAAATGCTGGCTGCTGCCCCCAACCCAAATTTTAAAGTTAACTTCTAGGTGTGTACACTATCATCTTTTAAACCCTAGAGGGAGAAAGGGAAGGGATTAGACAGCATGAATAGGTAACTACAATATTGCCACAAGGATATGAAAGACAGTTCAAGGAATATAATTAATAATGTTGTAAATATTTTGTAGGGTGTCAGATGGTCACATGTCTTATTAGGGAGACCGCTTCATGAATGGGGTAGAGGCTTGATC